CCGGGAGCGTCCTGGGTTCGGATTTCCCTGGGATGCCAACGGGGCTGCTCCGTCCTCGGGGTTTTCTCATGCGACGCCCCTACGGGCTCTGCCGTTCCCAAAGCAGCTGAGGCAGGACTGAGGCAGGCCATGCTCTTATTTATTTATTTATCTATCTATTTATGGGGAAAAAATACGTTTCTAACCTCAAAACAAAGCCTCTCAGCCCCGTGCCCGAGGAAAGGAGCTGCACTGCCGCGGAGCGCTCTCGCCGCGCTGCCCCGCGCGAAGCCCCGGCTTGCAAAACCCCACAGAAAAGCGCGGGCACCCACGGTGCCGCCTGAAATAAATCCTCGTCCCCCACCAGAAATAGGGCACGGCAAAGTAGGGCAGCGGTTCCCTGCGAAAGCCGGTTCTTTAGTCCTCGTGCGGGGAAAGAGGGGTGGGACACGGCCGTCAGAGCCACGCAGCCGAGGCAGGGGATGGAGCCGGCCCCATCCCACCCCAAAAAAGCCTGGGGGTGGTGGGGATATTGGGATCTGGTCAGGGTTTGCTGGGCCTTTCACCCTTTGGAAGAATGGGGAGATTTCCCCCATTTTGGTGAAACCCGGAAAAAATCAAGAGGGAAAGGTGAAAACCAGGGGAGCCTCCCGGGGGGTTTCGGATCCCAACCCGGTAAAACCCCGGTGCGGGAGGAGCAGGGCTGGTGGCAGAGGTTCCTCATTGAAAAGCCACAGCTGCTCAGAGCTGGGGGGTTTCGGTGACCTTTGGTGGGTAAAAAACACACAAAAAAGACACAAAAACGGTCGTTCTGATGGCTTTGGGCCCCTCCTTGTGACATTGGTCCTGCCCCGACCTGCCAGCGGGGCCCCCGTGTCCCCACACCAAAGGGATTTCGGGTACATCGTGCCCTGGGGGGTGCTGCCCTCCCATTGACCCTGTTCCAGGGCATTCAGAGGTTGTGTTTTTTTGTTTTTTTTTTTTTTTTTTTTTTTTTTTTTTTTTTGGGGGGGGGCGGCATTCCCGTAGGATTTGTGCTCTGCTCCAGGAGAACAGCACAACCCCAAGATGTTGGGGTGCTCCCTGCAGCAGCCGATGCTCCCCCAGCACCAAGCCCGAGCAAAAACCACGGCACCAGACTCCCTGGTGATGATGAAATGATGAATAAAACGATGATTTTGGGGGGTTCATTTCCCATCTGGGAAGTTTGGGGGCATTTAAACTCGCTGGTAGATGGGGGAACATCGCTGCTGTTTTGGGGCTGCTCGCCCCTTCCCATGAAATTGCTCACAGTGAGGAAACCGGAGCCACGCACACAGGCTGGGGCACTAACAGAAAATAAAGCAAAATAAGCAACAAACAGATATATAAAAGGAAAAAAAGAAGTGATTTAGCACCTTAAAACCCCCGTGGTTAGTCACGGCGCGGGGCCGGGGCCAGGCTCTGACTCAGCTCCGCGCTTGCCCCCGTGCTGCTCCGAGCGTGCCAGCACCTCCTGCCATCCCCAAACCTCCACCAGCACCAGGCAGCCTGGTCTGGGAGCTTTTGGGGATGGAAATGGATGTAATTATAGAAATATAATCTGTAAGGTCTGTCTGGGGAGGGGAGGGGGCGGGGGGGTCTTGCTTCTGCAGGGGGTTGAGACCAAAAGGGGAGCCGGGTGCTGGGTGCGCCGGGCGCTGGCGTCTGTGCGAGGCCTCGCCCCGAGGGATGGGGACCAGCAGTGACATCCCAAGGGCCTGTAGGAGAATGGATTCGAGGTAAAATCAATAAAATCAAATCAAAATTAACCCTAAGGGGGTTGCAGCCCAGGCCAGTGCCCTGGGGGTGGTGGCCCCCAGGTCCTCCCTGGCGGATTTGGCCGTGCCACCGGCACCCCTCGGGGTGGGTTAACCACGAAGCCCCCAGCCCTGCGGTGTGACGGGGAGGGAGGGGAAGCTCTGGGGCCCCCAGATTTTGCTGTTCTTGCCCACCTGCGGCGCGACATCCCTGAGCTTAATGAGGTGAGCAATTAACAGAGCCCCCCGGGAGCCAGGCAGAGCCGTGCTCACGGCTGCGCTCAGCCTGGGAAAGGTGGCTCGGGGGGGGGGGACACAGAAAGGAGGACCAGAGAGGGTCACGGGGACAGCACCATCAGTGCAAGCTTCTGTTCTTTTCTTTTCTTTTCTAATATTCTATTTTTTTCTGATATAAACCTCAGAAGCCACACTGCAAAGCAACCAGCAGCCCCGGTACTTAGCAGGGATGCAGCAGCTCGGCACAAAGGACCGAATTTCCACCATCCCCCTGCATGTGAGAAGAACCTAGGGGCAGGGAACCTGGACAGACCAATTTCCTTTCCTCCCCAGGACCCTTTCCCTGCAGAAAACCCAAACCACAGCAACCCGGTACAGCTTACCCCGGTGTCGGTACCACTCTGCATAGACCAAAAAATAAAAAAAATGGCATTAAAACCAGGTGCTGAACCCCTTGTCCAGGCTGATACGGGAGCCAGTTACAAAGCTGCCCACCTCAGTAAACCCCCCCCCAAAAAAAAGCCCCAAAACGCCCCGTTTTCCCACTCAGGCTGCCTGCGGGAGGACGGGAGCGGGGTCGAGGCGTTGGCGGCGCGCGAAGGTGCGGGGCGGCCGGCAGCTATTTACGGGAGATGTCAGCACCCACTGACAGCCCTGGCAGCTCGCTGCTGCACGCACGGGCGCGAGCGCCCCTGAAATCCATATGTGCTTTTATATATAGGACGCTGGCACTGATGGATTTCTGCCAGGCGGCTCCGAATCACCAGGGGCTGCTGGAGGGGGGGGACCATGGGCACGCTCCGAACCCATTTGGGGTGCGAGGAGTTGGGGTTCAACGCCACAGCTCTGCCTTCCCCTCCTGGGGGCTGCATTTAGGGGGCCTCATCCCCCTGTACCCGGTGGTCGGAAGCCCCTGGGATCCTCCCCACCTTCCCCTTGGCACCCGGGGTCGCTCCTGGTTTTGGCTCCGTTTCCTGGGGTTTGGGGACCCGGCCAAGCCAAACGCAGCCGCTTGTGTAACGTTGTGCTCCAAAAGCTTCTTAAACACTCACATATTTCCATTGGATTTCCCTTGCCCCGCGCTGCTGATTACTGCAGTATTTATGTATAAATAGAAGCTGTCTTCCCCATAATCTGCTCGTTTCTCCTCGTTAGCTCAGGGCCGGGCCCACCGCTTCGCTCAGCGCCGAGTCCAGGCTCTGCTTCGGGGTTTGCCGGGACCCGGTGGCACTCGATGTGCCCGGATCCAGCCGTTTTCCTCCAAATTCACTTTTTTAAGCCATTCTCTTGGGGGTTCCAAGGTGTGAGGGCTCCAGCAGCAGGGACAGAGCCCATTTGGGGCACCCGATGCCCGTTCGGATGGCGCAGGGAGGTGGATGCCGAGGTGAGGGGGAAGGAAAAAAACCTCATTCCCCAAATCCACGTGCCTCTTATCATCCTCCCCATCCTCACACCTGCTGGCTCAGGGCACGCTCGGGCCACGATTCCTTCCCAGCACCTTCCTCCAGCCTCACAAAGCCTTTTTTTTTTTTTTTTTTTCCCCCCCTAATTTACGGAACGTCTCGGTTTGTTAATTATTTTAATCATTATTACTCATCTTTCCCTTCCTCCCCCCTAATACTTCATCCCGGGCCCGTCAATCATTTTAATAGCTGTTTACAACCCATCATCAAGTCTTGCATAACATCCACATGACTGCGCTCAGATGCCTCCGACACCCAAACCTGCCCCGGGCTCTATTTCGGGAGCGCTGAAGCCCACGGCACCGAGCGGCCGCATCCCCCGGGATGCCAAAAACCCTGGGGAGAAGCATCCCTCGGGCAGGACCACGCTGAGGCTGACCCGAGCCAGCCCTGCCCTGGGATTTTTGGGGCCAGGGCTCGTTTTGGTGGTGCCGACACCCCACCGAGCACCGCGGGTGGATGATGCTCCGCTGCACCTGTTTTAAGAAACGGCACCAAACCCACCCCAATTTTGGGTGGCTGCGGCCGCGCTGCATCGCCGCTACCCGCACCCCGGCCTGGGCAGCGGGAGGAGGAGGCGAGGGGGGGTTACGAAGCACAGAAATGCTGCTAAAAAGCCCGTTTTCCAGCAATATGTGGAGCTCTGCTCGCCGCAGCGCCCGTCGGCGGCGGGTTGGCGGGCGGACGGGGGCAGAGGCGCAATCTGTGCTTGGAGAGCTGCCGGCGTGCTTGCAGCCCTTCCAGCAGGCACCGGCGGGGCTGGGGGGTGGCGAGGGCTCTTTTTTAAGCTCTGCTGTCCTCCCCCTCTCCCGCGGGTTTCGTAACCCTCCCAGGCGAGCGAAGGCTCCCCCCCGGTGCCGGCTGATGAACCCCTGCCAGGGGTCCCAGGGGGGACGCAGCGGTGGCCGGCACCGATGCCTTGCAGCACAGCAGGGTTTGGGCTCCAAGCCCTGAGTTAGGACTGCGGTTTTGCACCGGGGCTGCCCCAATTGGGCCGTTTCTCACCCCAAAACCACCCCTCTGCGGAAAGCACAGAGCAATCCTGCCCGGTGCTGGCTCCCCGGGGAGCCGGAGCCGTTCTCTCGCCGTGGAGAAGCTGCAGGCAAATATTTATTGCCACGGCGCGGAAGGAGTTTATTCATTAAGCCCCGACTGACAACGGCAACCAAATGAATTTCTCCTAATGAGGTGCTCGCCGTCACCTTGGCGACAGCACCGCAGCACCCGGGCTGCGGACTGAGGCTGAACCAGGGCAAAGCCCCCAGGACAAGGGGGGGCTGCAGCCATGGGGACCCGGCCCCACGCTGGGGAGACCCCGGCACCCCCCTGCTCTCATTAGCAGCCCAATTAGCCAAACGAAGGCAGCTGATGAACCCAGAGCACGGCGGGCGGGCGCTTTTCCAGCACATGGTGGTCGCCACCAGCTCGTTCGGGGTGGGGCGGTGGCGCTAAGGTGGCTTTTGCCATCCTTTTGTCACGGCCTGCTGGAAGCTCGGTGGCTCCTTCCCCTCTGAACCCCGGCTGCAATTCACACACGCAGGCAGGAGGTGGATTTTTGTGTATTTTGTTTGATTTTTTGTTGTTGTTTTCCTACACAACTCACACCACACTGCGCACAGAGACCCCAAAACGGCGTACCCACGGCGGACAAACCAAGCGGGCTCTGATTCACCGGGACAACGACACGGCTGCGACGGAGAACGCGACGGTGCCAAGGAGCCCCCGGCGGAGATGGGGACCCCGGCGAGGTGACACGAGGCAGGGACACTCGGGGACCCCCTGGACGGACACACACGGACACCAGGAACCTGCTGAGACGCGGCGAGGCTGCTGCACACTGAGGGGAGAAGGCAAGGTGCCGAAGGATGCTCACCCACTGAAGCCTTGGTGCCATTCTGGAGCATCCTCCAGTACCAAGAGATTCTCTGTGGGATGCTGGAGAGCAGTAAGAGCAGCACCAGCCCCTTTTGGCCCCTCTCCCCAAAAAGAGGACGCAGGAAGGGCTGTGCCAACACCCTGAGCACCCAGCCTGAACCCGGCACAGGGGAGCTGCCGGCTCCAGCAGCCCCCGTGTTGGGAACTCATTTTGCCGGTGGCTGCGGGCGAGCAGAGCGCTGAGGCAGCCTCCGGGAGAGATTCTGGGATTTTGGGGAGACAAAGGGATCGGGAAGCCAGCAAGCGGTGAGGCGGGCAGGGCTTGGGGTGCTGTGCCCGGGGATAAACCCTGCTGGGGAAATCCTGGGGAGCTGAGGGGTGGCAGTGGGCAGGGGAGGGCAGGGAACCAGAGGTAGGTTTTGCTCACGAGCTGCATCATGCCGCAAACCAGGCTGTTTGGCACCAAAACAGCCCCGTGGCAGCTCTCCCTGATGCTTTTTTACAGCAAAAAGCGGGCTGGAGCTGGGACTCGTTGCTTTGGGAGCAAGAAGAGGCAACAACCCCAGCGCTAACAGAGCCGTGAAGATGCCCATCCCCACCAGCTCCGGTCAGAAAAAGCAAAAGGTTTCCTGCAAAGCCCCTCCTGGCTCCCGGCGCTCTGCTGGGGAGCCGAGAGGAGGCTTTCCCCCGCCGGGAGGTTTAAAAGAGAAGATGCTTTGTCTCAAAGGGAACAGCCTTGCCAATATTGCCACATTTTCCCGCTGTTTTCCAACACTCTCCAGCTGCAGTTTTCATCTCTTCCTCTCACACTCCCCGTCCTACCCATCCCTGCTCAGCGGAGGAGCCAAAACCTGCGTGCCCGTCACTCAGCTGCGCTTCCTTCGTTTTTTTTCCAAGCCCCCCCCCCCCCCAGACAAAATCAGCGCAGCTGAAACAGAACCAGGGCCTTTCTCCAGCAGAAAGCTAACGAAAATAAATATATAAATAAATAATAATGCCTGAAAGCTGTACTGAAGTCGGGAACGCCACTGACTTCTAGTAACAAGCGAGCTTTGGGCTGGAAAATGTTCTCTCAGCAGCAGGGAAGCAAGGAGTGGAGATGGGGGGGGTGTCACTTGTGGCTGGGGAGGGCAGAGCCCCCCAGGAGGGCACAGCAGGCTCCTGGGTGGAAAGGAGGATGGGAAGTTTTGGCATTTTGGCAGGGAATTAAATTTCCTTTTGCTGTTTTCACGCAGGGTGCTCCTGCTCGGAGGGGGCCGCGCTCTGCGCCTCCAGCTCCTAAGGCACAGCGCCGGCTGCTGCCTTGGGGACAGGTCCCTGAACCTCTCCTCTTGTCCTCCCCAAGCTCCCTACACGCTGCCGGGGTTGTAGCACAGCAGGTTGAACTCCAGGTTCTCCTCCCAGTGCCTGAGCAAGACGAAGAGCTGCTGGGCCGCCGCCTTCACCGCTGCCAGGCTGCAGCCCTGCGGGAAGCGCTGCTCCCGCAGCCACAGGCTGGCTTTGGCCGCCACCAGCTCCCACTCCACGAAGTAGGCGGCCGAGCTGTGCTCCAGCCAGGCCAGCGCCACGGCCGTGGCCCACAGCATCCCCTCGGGCTCCGTCTGCCGCCGCAGCTCGATGTCGGCCAGCAGAGCCTGCACCTCGGGGCCGTGCTGCTCCGGGGAGGAGAAGCGGCGGATGGTGATGGCCGGCGGGGACAGCTCGCTCTCGGCTCGCAGGGATTTGGAGATGCTCTCCACGGCGCTCCCCGAGAAGTGGCGAGGGCGGCCGGCTGCGTCCTCGGAGGGGCTGACGGCCCCGCGGGTGCCATCGGGGACTGGGTGCTGCCCGTCGTGCCCGAGGTTTGCGCGCTCCCCGCCGGGCACGGCCTTCCTGGAGCTGCTGGGGGCGGAGGGGCTGAGCGCCAGGCGGTGGCAGGAGAAAGGCGAGGTGCGCTTCAGCTTCTCCATGGGGATGCCCAGCGCCTCGCAGAAGGCTGAGTTGAGGAGGAAGGCGCCGCAGGCCAGCTGCAGGGACACCTGTAAGCAGCGGTGGGCACACAGAGCTCTGAGATACTAACCTCTGCTGGGGAATTTGGGGAGAAACTGCACGGATGGAGCAGCTCCCGTCTCTGTCAGACAGCGAGAGCCCATCGGGATGATTTGGGGGTCCCCGGCCCCCCGCAGCACCCGCACAGCCACGGCCGGAGCCAGGAGCTGCTCACCAGAGGAAGGTAGTCGATGCTCTCGCTGTCGCTCTCCGAGCTGGCCTCGCTCGTTCTGCCCGGGGATTTGTTCATGAAACCCTTGGCAGCTCGAGTCAGCAGCCTGGTTTTGTGGAGGGTCAGCCTGCGGGAGGACGGGGGGGGGGCTGTCACCTGCCTGTGTCCCCCCTCAGTGCCCACCTCCCCGGTCCACAGCCACCAGCATCACGTTTGCTGCTTGTCCCTGTGCTCAGATCTGTGCTGGACCCACAGGACCTGCAGCTGGCAGCAGAGAAAGGAGGAGCTGGGCCCTACCTCGCAGCAAAGAGACTCTCGATGGGTTTTGGGGAATGTGCAGAAGAGGCAGCCAGGCTCTGGGACGGCGCTGGGAAGAAACAAAAAGGCAGGAGTCAGGTGAGTGCTGCAGGAGAGCAAACGTCAGAGCTCAGGGAGCAAAATCCACGACATTGGGGTGTGGGGTGCCTCGCTGGGCTGCTGAGGCTCTGCCAAAATCCTGCCTCTCCCCTTCCCTGCATATGTTACGGGACAATGAAATCCCCGTGCATCTTAAAAACGAATGTGGGAGGTCTGTACAAAACGCCCCCAGGGCTCTGTGCCTTGCACCTCTGGAGAGAGCCAGGCCTTGCGCTCACAGGCCTAATTGTAGGCAAGAAGGTTTAAAAAAAGAACACTCAGCAGAAAATTGTGTGAGGAGCCCAAATCACTGACTCGATTTCCAGCAGTTATGTCCGAGCAGCCCGGAGCCATTTCCCTGCAGGCTCCCATGCCCCGGTGTGGCTCTGGAGAGCGGCTCTCAGGAGGGCTGTGGCCACGGGGAGCGGTGTGGCCCGTCCTGAAGCAGCTCTGGGATTTTAGCTGGGGCCACCCCAACATTTGGGCACCCACACCCTGAGAAAAGGCGCGAGCACCTTCCCCTACCTTCTGGGGGACGGCAGCTGGAGGACAGCGGGGTGCTGCAGGGCGACGGCCCGGCCTCGTCCGCATCTGCAAGGGATTTATGGCATCAGCATCACCCACCCGAAATCCCCAACCCCTCCTGCCCACCTCCTCCCCGCTGCCGGGGCAGGAGGAGGCCACCACGGGCTGCCTCACCCCTCACCTCCCCGCCACGCAAACCCCTGAACGCGGAGGCAATTTTAATTCAGCCGCAGCCCTGGCAATGCCCGCCGCGGTCCCAGCCCAGCTTGTCTTCATTAGCAGAGGATTTGGTGACAGGCAAGTGCCTCGCATCCCCCTCGCCTCTAATTACGCCCCGCTTCATCCCTCGTGCTCTCTGCGCCGCGGCTGCCAATTAACTGCCAAGCACGGTCAGCAGGCGCTGCCTGCGGCTGGGGAGTTTTAGGGTAAATTGCAGCTTTTGCCTTGCTTAAGGAGCTGGATTCCAGGCAGATGCAGGATTAATTATCCAGAGCAAATGCCTGGGCTTTTTTTTTGGGGGGGTCGTGCATGTGACGGCAGCAGGCTGTGGTGTTGGAAATGCCATCTCCAAGGTTTGGAGGATGGATTTCATGCCTGGCAGCCACGGGAGCTGCATCACCTCTGAGCACCGTATTAAAAGAAGGCAGAAATTAAAAAAAAAACAGAGAAAATACTCCTTAATAAATAAATAAATAAACAAACACCTTAATGGACTACACCACGAAGAGGAAGGAGACCAAAAAAAGCCAAGGAGCCTTACCTGTGCCATGAAATCCATCATCCCCGTCCTGGCCGCAGGGTGACAGGGGACACGCCGCAGAACCGCCGCGGTGCCTCCTGTGTCCCGAGCTGAGGCTCCTCGGGCTGCCTTGCCTGGCCGCTGGCCCTTGGCAGGAGAGAAGGGAATTTCCAGCGTTGAGCGAGGGATTTGGAGCCACAAAACCCACGGGCTGGCGAGCTCGGCCACCTGGAGCTGAGGCCGTGCCCTCTGCCTGCAGCCCCCCGTTACCCGTGCGGGTGTAGGCGACGCTGGGGGGCAGGTAGGTGCTGGTGCTCAGATCCACCGGCACGAACGCCGTGTACTTGCTGATGATGTTGCAGGCCTTGCTGGTGTGCACGGCGCTGAGCTGGTGCCGCCGGCCTGACCCTGCCGTGGGAGAGGTGGCAGGGTCAGCGCTGGAGCCAGCTCCCTGCCCCAGCTCCTGGGAGGAGAGGAGCCGGAGCAGGGAGCGCGCCCGACGTGCGTTACCGGGCGTTAATTAATTACCGTGCTCGATTTCACACTCCCTCTCTGCCAGCTGCTCCAGGTCCCGGATGACGGATTTGGCTGCCAGGTGGTGGAAGGTCTCGCTCCACAGGTCCTCGTCGCCCTCCTCCCGGCTGCCCCGCTCGCGGAGGAGCGGGCGGATGTCGAAGGCGACCTCCCACTGCACGGGCTCGCCGCCCCGCAGCCCCTTCACCACCGCCTTGCAGGTGGCACGGGGCGAGCACGGGGAGCCCCGGGCGGCGCCGAAATCCCAGTCCTGGGGCTCCCAGTCGGAGGAGGTCTCCGTCTCGAAGGTGAAGGACGGATGCTGGGCGCCTTCTGCAGAGGGACAACCACAGGGTTAACCACCCAGCTCCCCTCTGCCCCCCAGAAACCGTAATTAACCCTTCCTAATTTTCAGCACAGCTTTCTAATGGGCAATGCCACAGCACCAAAATTTTGGTGAGGTTGCTGGGCCTCCTCTGCCACCTTACCGGGCTCCCCGGGGCTTCGGCTGTCGGATGAGGACCTCAGGCTGCTGCTGGCATCCAGCGGCCCCAAGCCCTGTCCAGCAGCAGCCTCGGGCACTGGCGGGGATTCGGGGTGCTGGCAGGAGGACACGCAGCTCCCGTGCAGCAGGGACGGCCGGCGGGCACCCGCGCCACGGATCCTGGTGGTGAAGGGCTGGGAAATGCAAACACAGCAAGCTTTCCCCACTGGGACGCATCCACACAGCATCCCCGAGGCACCCGAAGCCCCAGAGGCTCTTTCCCCAGACTTGCAGGAGGTGAAATTGGGGTTTCAGCCCTCCAGGCATTTTAATGACTTTGCTCGGGAGCCAAAGGAAAGAAGAGAGGCAGAAAGATCAAGCACCAGTTGCTTGGTAACGGGAGGAGGGGGGGGCACAAGGGATGGGGAGATGGGATTTTATTTTATTTTATTTTTAACGAGGCCGTTTCTCCACTTTCAGGAGACACAAATCCCCCCCGTGGCATCTGCAGCGCCAGATCCCGTGCGGATGGCAGGCAGGAACCCAGCCTCCAGCACCACCGAGCTTTTGGATGAGCCCACCAGCAAAAAGGGGAGGCAGGCAGCTGGGAAAGGGGCAACCCGAAGCAGGAGAAGCTCACCAAGAGAGGAGGGAGCTGCTTCCAAGCCAAGAAGCCCCCTCCCATTCAAAATTTGGGCTCTCCTCCTAGGCTGGGCAAGGAGCCGGGGCTTTGCGCTGCCCGCCGCCAGCCCTGACCTTTCCATCCCAGCAGTGTGTGTGTGGGGACGAGCTGAGGGCTCACATTCACAGCCCCAAAAATGTCAAGCCCTGGCAGCCAACCTTGGAGCCGGGAGAGTTGCTGGGAGCCCTCGGGGCAGCGAAACCAGGCTGCAATTAATTCGGAGCAGGGCGCACGCTGCTAGGCACTGACTGCCCTCCGGTCCTTTCTGCCTCTCGCTCACGGGGCCAGGTGCTGTGCTGGGCCTTGGCAAGGTGAGGGAGGATGAGGGCATCCCCCAAAACACCTGCCTGCCACGAGGTGCTTTTCAGCTGGAGGGTAGAGGCTTCGTTCCTCTCCACGGAGCAGGGACCCTTCATCCCCTGCATCCCCCTGCGGACCCCCTGCGCCCCAGCGCCAGCTGAAGCCGCGTGGCAGCCCAGCCATCCCTCCCCGTGTTTCCATGGGAACAAAAGTGTGGCAGCAGCAGCTGCTGCACATCCTCCCGGCCCTGATTTCGGAGCTGAGCACTGCGGCGATGCTGAGGAGGGGAGAAAACCCGGCCCCAGCCTTCCAGAGAGCAGCCTGAAGCTGTCCTGGGGCTGCCGCCTTTCACCCGCTGCTGGATGCAGTGGGCAGCACCACACGTGTCCGGGTGCCAGCCCAAAACTCTGCAGGGGCTGCAGCTTCCAGGGGAAGCAGGAGAATCTGCTTTGGGACTGATCCTGGGACCCTGCAGGGCATGGATACGCCCCAGGCAGAGTTTGTATGGCGTGGCCAAAGTACAGATGGGCAGGGAGAAGCTCAGCAAACAGAAACAGGGAGCAGGATCCTGTCCTCGTTTCCTCCGTGCTTGGGGCACACCTTGGCACAAAGTGCACCCGGCAGGGCTGGCGTGAGCCGGGCTCCTTCCCTTCCACACCTGAGATGTCCCCGGTGCTGCAGGCTGGCCCCAGCCGCACACAGAGCCCCTCGGGGGGGCACCCACCTGGAAATCCAGCGGGCACGGCTCGGGGCTGAGCTGCTGCAGGTCCTGCAGGTGGGCTTTGCGCAGGGGATTCCTCAGCAGGGCGCTGCCCGGATCGCTGGCCGTGGGCTCCTTGCGGAGGGGCTCGTGGCTGGTGACCTGGTTGGCACTGAACGCCCGTCTCCTGGAGGATGTCTTGGCATCAGTTCCTGCACGGAGGGAGAGAGGATGGGCTCCGGTCCCCCTGGGGAGCAGGGGGATGCTCTCGGCCCTGCTTGGTCGGAAGAGAAGTGACAAAACCACAGAAGGAAACGAGAGCACGCAGTCCCCCGGGGGATGCCAGGGGAGGTTTTGTCTGAGAGATTTTCAGCCAGGAAAAAAAAAAAAAATAACACACAACAAAAACCTGTCTGCGTTTACCCAAATCTCCTTGGAGAAGACAAAGGGTTCGCTAATGAAATTTCATTAGCGCAGACATTTTCCTGTCAGAGCGAGAGGAGGGTTTCATTTGGAAGTGCACGATTTCTCATTACTTCTGACAAGGTTGAGAGGATGCACAGCACAGCTCTTCTCTGATTACAAGCACAGAACACCCCGCGAGTGGCGGAGGTTTCCCTTGCAGCACGGAAACGTGGCCCCGAACAGGGCTTTGGGGCCATTTTTCCCCTTTTCTTCCCCTCTAACTCCAACTTTGGGGCTTGCTGCAAGAAGCAGCTGTTTTGCATGGCCTGGCTGGGCTACCGACCTGCTCCAGCCACACCACAGGCAGCTCGGGCAGCTTGTAAATAATTACACGTGGCCAAAGCTGGAGCTGCTCTGAAAACCTCTGGGGAAGCCAGATCTCCGGGGCTTCCCTTCATTTCCTGACACGTTGGGGTAAAGCAGCCAAAGCAAACAGACTCGCTCGAGCCTCGGGAGATCCGTCACAGCTCCTGCAAACCCCCCTGACACTTTGCAGAGGTAGAGCTGGGAAGGCTTAGCTGTCAGGGAAGGAAATCGGCAGAGCAGGGAGGAAAGCTGGTTAGGAAGACGGGGGCATCACCCCCACGCTTGCACAGTGGGAAACCTGACCCGTGTCCGTGTCCGATTCTCCGCCGGGGTCCCTGCCCACCGCCAGCTGATCCGGGGCACGCTCGGCCCCCTCCGGGTAGCTCCAGCTCTCCGTGCTGGCTCCCTCTTCCTGGGAGTGCAAGAAAACCGAGCTGCTCGACTCCTGGGAGCGCATCATGCTGTACCGCCGCCTCTTGTCCTGGGGAGAGCGGAGAAGCAAGTCCCAAAGCTGCAGCTCCCATGTGGGTTTGCACCCCGGTGCCCTTTTCGCCTCTCTCCATCCCCTTGGCCACCCGTCAGGCTCCCCGGTGGCTCATCCTCTGCTTCCCTTCCCACCCGGCGAGCCACGAGCAGTCACGACCACAGGTTTGCAAGAGGAGAAAAAGAAAGAGGGGAAAAAAAAGCCTTTGGGTTGGGGGCGGACTCACGGATCGGGGGTTGGAGAGGTACAGCGAGGTGTCGCAGACGACGCCGTAGCCAACCAGGCGGTCACCGGGGAAGAGGCAGCTGGTGCTGAGCGGGGACACCAAGACCTCAGTGCTTTCGGGAAAGACCCACTCCACGGACACGTCGCTCAGGACCGGCGCCATCGCCTTCTTCAGCGACCTGATCATCTGGGGAAGGAGAGAAGAGCGATCATACAGAAGGCGGACCCCCCCCTGCTTCTGCAGAGCACCCCAAAAGGCGCAGGGGTCTCCGGCAGCCCCATGCCCTGACCCAGGGGAGAGCCCAAATCTGTGACCATCTCCTGGGCAGACCTAGCAGGGAGCCCGCGGGCATTTCCCTGCACTCCAGGAGGAGTCAGCCCCAGATTTCCAGGCAGAGCATCTCAACCCTCCCCTGGTGTTGCCGCTGCTTGTTCGCAGGCTCTGGGCGACGCACCAGGCTGTGGTTTATACAGCTGTTAATTGACGCCTCAGACTGCTGAAGGCACCGAGCTGCACAGCCTGCAAAGCTCTTTATTAATAGCTCTATTAAAAACAAACAACAAAAAAAAAAGACAAAAAAAAATCCCACCTCTCTTCCCTGGTTTTGTTTTTAATTTAGATCAGAAATGCTGATGCTGTTCTGCGTGCTACAGGTTCCTGCAGAGGGAAGGGCTGCGGAGGGCCTTTTCAGATCAAGCACGCAGGAGGCAGCTTTTTAAAGATATTTAGGGGCTGAAGACCCGATTCCCTTGGGGTTTGGTCACTGGGCAGATGACACCGTGCTTTTACCAGGGGACAGAGCCCACGTAGGGCCGTTCTGCCGGCACATCTGAGTCACCGGCCCCGGTCTTCACAGGGAGAGTGGAAACGAAGCGCCCTCGTTTGCTTTCAAGCTGGCTTAATAGGCAAAGCCATCGCCGCCCGTTCCCTTTCCTCCAACCCCGGGTACTTCTTGCCTGAGCGGCGCGAGGGCTGAGCCTGACTTCAAAACTAATTGGCTGCTTTGATGCCGGCTCTCCTGCCCCTGCCTGCGCCTGCGACAGCAGCTCCCTTTGAAGCCGGAGCTGGCGGATGGAGGCTCTCGCCTCTCCCCTTCCCCACGCGGGGTAAACACGCTCCCACTCCCTCCGACAGCCGGAGATGAGGCTGCTCCTCCATCCCCTCCTGCTCTCCCACCTGCTGCCGAGTGGGAGGCGCGAAGGCAGCACCGGGAGAGGGAGCGGGGCCGGCGGCTGAGCCGCTGCCTCCCCCTCGCTGCGCACACGGCAGTGTCGGAGAGCGATGCGGTGGCCCTGGGGGACACACCGGTGGCCCTAGGGGATACACCAGTGGCCCTGGGCTCCCCATCTCCCCGCAGCACAGAGGGTGGCCGTACCTTGGGCTGCAGCCGCTCGCCCTCGGCCAGGAACTCGGCGCTGCCCCTGGACACGGTGGCCAGCCCCTGCACCAGCCTCCTGCAGGCGCTGGGGCCGATGCCGAAGCTGTAGCACCTGCACGGGGATGGGATGGAGAGCGTCAGGCACATCCAGCAGCTCCCAGTTTCCCTGCTGGTCTTTCTGCCCAAGCAGGGCTCCAAGATTTTTGGCTGTGACCCTCATTTGCAGGATCCCCCCCCCCCCCCCAATCCCTGCCTCCTCCCTGAGCGCGAGCAAGCTGCCCAGTCAGCTCTTCTCCCTGCCTGTGGTCAGCAGCATTACGGACCCAGCAATTATCTCTGCTCGCAATTAAAATAAATGTTTTCTCAAGGAAAGGGGAACCAGCCGGGCAGGATCGCTGCCCTTTTTCCATGCTCAGCGAGCTGGGGGTTGGCAAAGGGCTGCAAACCCCATAGGGAGGCAGAGGGTGCAGCGTATGGCCAGGGCTGGGATGAAAACACCTTTGGCAGCAGCCTGCGGCTGCAGCAGGGGCTTTTCTTCTGGAGGTTTTAATCTCCAGATGGCTGCAGGTCTTACGGAGATTCGCAGCCTCTCACACGGGGCTCTGATCTCCTTCGGAGGCCGGGCACGACTCGGACACGCGCTGCGCGGAGCCCTCCAGGGCCAAGCTCCAGCACTGGCTGCGTCCAGCTCACTGGCACACCTCCAGGAGCGAGGGGTGGGTAGTCCTGTACCCCTGATAATCCCTCCATATAGGAAATAAAAAGGGCAGAGCCGCTTCCCTGATCAGCCCTGAGCTCTGAGGGATGGGAGAGGAGTAAGGTTTTTCTCGCATTTTTCTAATTTTTCATCTCCCTTAAGGAGACGGAGGAGAAACCAGACCGTCAGGGCTGGGGAACAGCCTAGGAGCAAATTTGCTGCTTCCCCCACGGCTCTTTTTCAGCCTATTCATTTCTGTGCAGCGCCATCCTGGAAGCAGCTGGGTCTGGACCCAGATGTGCTTTAGAAAAAAAAAAACAAAAAAAAAAACAGGCAAGGAAGATTGCTCGTGTGTCAATCTCTCCTAGCAGGAAGCATCCGACGAGAGCCTGTGAAGTTGTCAGCCCAATTATCCCGCTTTTGATTGTTTAAAAAGCATCTGAACTTCTGGGATCCGTTCCAAACCCTTTGAGGTTTCTCCCGTGGCTGGCAGCAGCAGCCCGCAATCCTGCCTCGGTTCCTGACGCGGGGATGTCTGTGCCACGGAGCCCCGCGGCCCCCTGCGCTCGAGGAGCAGCCCACCCTGCTGGTGCCAGGCTTTTTGCCCTCCTGGCGGCCGGCCCCCCGTACCTGGTGGAGGACGAGTGGTTCCTCAGCACCTCCAGGACCTTCCCCGTGTCGCCCACGGCCCCGGCCGTCAGCAGGAAGAGCAGCCGGGGGTGGCCCCTGGGGATCGGCTGCCGCACGACCCACCTCAGGGGCGACAAGATGTTGGTGCTGCCCATGTCAGCCCGCATCCTCCTGAGGCTCTCGCAGGCGACGGCCAGGCTCTCCTGCCAAAGGAGCAGCAGAGCCAGCAGCCTCGAGAGGCCGGAGCCCTGCAGCCCCTCGCCCAGCCCCTCACCCACCTCGCAGTAGCTCCTGCTGGCGGGGAACAGCGCCTTGAAAGTGGAGCTGAAGCCCACGATGTTGAAGAGGCAGGCGGGGGTCAGGCTCTTCAGGAGGACCAGCAGGGCATCCTGGGGGGGAGAGCAAAAGCAGAGGGGTCAGGAACACCACGGCTCGTCCCTTCCTGCCTTCGTTCATGCCCTTTTCCCACCTGCACGTGATGCAAAAGCAGCTCCTTGCACCTGGCTCCCTGCACTGAGAAAGCACCGCACGCTCCCCTGCTCCTCGCACGAGCTCCTTGGCGATATTTGGGTGCAAAGCAGAAAGGGGGAGCTTTTGAAGAGCGGAGCAACATCTCTTTGATTTATTTATCTCTTTATTTAACCGGTGGAAGCCGTGCTCGCAGTGCAGCACAGCAGCACCCAGCTGCTGGGTGACGAGGAGCGGGGTGCGAAGCGCGGAGCGGCGACGCGGCGCATCGCCGTGCCCAGACCTGCAGGGAGAAACACACAGCCCAAAGCTGCACAGGAAGAAAAGCCTCCCCCAGCCCCAACTATCTCTCTGGCACTGATTGAAATAACAGGGAGGGGCTGCTCCGAGCGCTTCTCTCCACCAGAAGCTGTTATCTAACCTGCCTATTCCTGGGCTTTTACATAAGGGGCCGCCAGCGCGGCCTCAGAGGCGCGTGGATGGAGCTGTGCCGGGCAGCTCCAGCACTCAGCGCTGCAGGAGAGGGAGGACAATCCAAAAGCAAAGTGCTGGCAGCGCCGGGAGCGCCCCTGCACTCACTGGTTATGTGCTGATAAAGGCAAACTTCTGCCGAGGGCAGCAGAAAACCTCGCGCCAGCCCTAGGAGAGGAGCTGCCAAGGGCACGCAGCCTCCTCGCGGCCACGGGGGCCGGGCTGGCCCCGCGGAGAGGCAGCCACGCAGCAGAGCCACGAGGTACCGTACGTGAGCGGGGCTGCTGCCCTTTAGCAGGCTCCCGAGGACTTTACACCAAGCTGTTAGCTCAAACCTACGAGGATGTATTTATATCGCCGCTTCCCGGCAGGCTCCGGGGGTGCTGGCTCCTGCAAATCTCAGCGCTGACATCCCCGCCTTGGAACTCGTTGCAAGGATTAAAAAAAAAAAAAAAAAAAAAAAAGACACGCAAAAATAAACAACAACAACAAAAAGCAGCTCTCCAAATATTTCTCTTGAAGCACTTCCCAAAGTGGGCTACCAGAGCCTGCCTTCTGTTCGAGCGAGCAGAAGGATTTATTGCTTCTTGTGGTAAATATTGATCCTGATCCTGCTGCACTCGGTATCAATACCGCGGCTCGATACGGAGAGATGTTTGCCTCCGGAGAAGTCAATTCCCAGTTATTTTGCCAGCCTGGCTGGTGCCGACGCACGCACCACCTCTTCTACCCCCCCAAAAAGAGCCTGGCCCCGCTGCCCCACATGGTAAGGGGATGCCCTGAACCTTCCACCCCTGTCATTTCAGCTGACCTGGACGGGGGCTCTGTCCCCGCAGTGTCCCCATATCCCCAGGGGACGGACCTGAGACCGCGCAGCGAGCCAGAAAGCAGAAGCCTGGCCCAGAGTGGGGACACCTCCTGATTGCCAGGCTCCAAAATGTGGTGAAGGAAAGAGGGGGGGGACCCTGTGTAGCACCAGCAAAGGCACCGTGGAGATAACACCGGGACAGGGCACAGCCAGGGCTCCCCAGAGGACCCCCCGCAGCCCCCCTCATGCTCCCTGATGCCTGTGGTGGCACCGCACGCTCCTTTTTGCTCCTTTTTGCTCCTTTTTGCCATCCTCGGCAAGTTCCCATGGAAACGAGAGGCGGATAGGGAGGGAGATGGCTTCGAGATGCTCCCCGCCACCCGCCTCCGGCTGCGGGCAGAGCTGCTCTGCCGGAGGTGGGGACACGGTGGCACTTTTTGGGGGGGCACTTTTGTCACCCGTGTTAGGGACAGGGGTGAGCGGGATGCCCCCGGCTGCAATCAAAGCCCCAAGGGGAAGCCTGCCCCTGCCCCTGCTCAGGAGGATGCAATGTTTTGAGGTGTCGGGGCTCAGCTGGCCCCAAAAATCAAGAGGAACTTTCTGAGGAGAGCTTTTGCCAGAGCTGCTCCCCAAGATGTGCCAGCTGGTGGACACCAACCTGCCCCAAAATGCGTTAAGGGCTAAGGATAATGGAACAGCCACCAGTGTAGGAACCTCCCTAGATCCCATGAGCAGTGGCACATGTCCGACCAGGCCCCGGGCACGGGGAGAGATGGAGAAGGGTCACGGGAGACGGGAAACCAGCAATGGGGAGAGGGAAATCCCTTTGTGCTTGGTGCACGGATGGGAAGGAGAGGAGCAGGGGCAGTGAGGGGGCTTGGCAGCGTCACTGCAGCTACCTAACGAGCAGCACAGTCACCATGACTAACGCCACAGTGTATAATTACCCCCATCCCCTCTTAATGAAGGCGCTGAGAACCCTTTCTGACATGGTTCAGGTGCTCCCCATCCCGCGCGGTACCTTGACGCGGTCGATGCTGCCGCTGCTCATGCTCCTGCTGCGGTCCACCAGGAAGATAAACTCGCCGGGGGCTTTGCGGAGATCCTCCTGGGCCGTCCGCAGGTCCGGGCAGAAGTTCAGCATGACGACAGGGTGGTGGGGGATGTCCTTGTTCAGGCGCTTCCTGATGATTTCTGTCTGCAGGGAAGAAGGAGAGGGAAGGCGGCGGGGGCGGCATCCTGCGGCCCCGCTCCACCTGGAGGGGGTTCACAGCGTGCCTGCGGGTGGAGATGCTCCTTCTGGCCCTGCTGATGAAAACACCTCTCCAAACTGATTATTAAATCGTCATTATTGCCCTCAGTAACATAATTCGTTAGCAGTGCTTGGCGTGACACGAGGTGCAGAGCTACCCAAGGCTTTGCGCATGGCCACGCGGTGACAGAGCGCAGGACGTGGCGCTCAGCACGCCGTGGTGGCCGCTTGGCTTCCCTCCTGCCACCTCTGCCCTGCTCCTGCCCCTTCCCCTTCCCTTCCACCGCTTCCCTTTGTGGGAACCGAAGGGCTTCAGAGAGCCCAAGCCGTCACTCAGGGCAGAATTTCAATAGGAGCCCGCCCGCCGCACGTCTCTGGCTCTCTGCTTTGTGCCTGCTTTTATTTCAAGGATCGATCTCCGTTGGAGACGTGATAAAATTAAACCAGGACAAACCCTCTCGAGCTGGTTCTGCCACCCACCGTGGTTTCCAGGTGGCTCCGTCACGCCTCACCTGCTCCCCCAGCTCCGTGGGGGCTACGGGAGGCTGTGCAGCGAGCTGCCCCGGCCCCACAGGCTTTTTTTGTGCCTTTTTTTTCGCCTTTTCCCTTGCTTTCAGAGGCTGCAAGCTCTTGCTGACTTCACGAGAAAGAAACCAGACCCCAAAGGGCTGGTTTTCTCCTGCATTTCCCTCTTGAGCTTCGGGAAATAAATGAACTGGCCACCAGGAGCTGGAGGGGTGCGCTCTGTTTCCCTTTTTCTGCTCTCAACAACCTTATTTTCGTCAGGATCTTTCCCAGCACGGACGTCTGTCCCATTTCAGACTGGGAACCCTGCTGGGACCCTGCCCAGGCGCTGAGCTGTGCCCCTGGACCCAAGCACAGCGCTCCCTGGGATGCTCCTGGGGATCCAGGAGCACCTGGATCGTCCCCACCACCCTGCCAGCTGACGGGCACCCGAGGCTTCTGCGTAACCACCCGAGGGATGGGAATAAAAGAGCATTTACTGCCGAAATTTCTGGGCTGACTCACTGCAGGCCAGAGGTGCTGCGTGGCGTTGGTTCTCCCCCAAAATCCACCCCGAGGCCTTTAGGGAGGAAGGCTTTTTGTCCAGGAAGGGGGCGCCTGGGGCACAGCGGGGGGCTTCCTGCGGGGAAACGTCTCCGGAATGATCCCCTCTCCCCCCTCAAAAACCAATTTGACGTGCTAAAGACACCGAAATAATTAGGGAGCCATCCGAGCCGGAGCGTGGGAGTTGCGTTTCGTTCCACCTGCCGCACAGCCGAGGCAATTAGAGGAGGCGCCTGCCGAGCAGAGCGAGCGCCGTCCTCATCCCTGCGCCGTGCTGCGAGAGAAAGCCCAGGGGGAGGCAGCAGGGCAGGCGGGCGATGCTTCTCTCGGGGAAACGAGCTCTGGGGGAGACCCCCGCCCCAGAAACTCAGCCGGTGCCCCCGGTCCCCTCCTCTCTGCTCAGCCCCGCACGCCGCCACAGCAGCTCGGGGCGCTGGAGCTGTCACTCAGCGTGTCAGAGCTGCCAGAAGATGAGGCAGAAATCCCAGAGCAGACATTTCTCCATTTGCTCGTCAAGAGAACAAAGAGAAGTTTCTGCTACCTTTGTCTCCGCTTTAGCTCATTATGCCGAGCCCGATCGCTTCTGTCTTCCTGACAGCTATCCAGAAAGGGTAAACATTTACCGAGCAATTAAAAGAATATTTTATTCTATGTCACCGCAATAATACCCTTAATGCTATAATAACGCACCTACCTAATTACGCTGTGCTAGAATAGCACTAATTACACACACAATAACCCTCGCGGAGCTTCTTCCACACTCGCTTTATCAGAAGCAGTGCAGAATTTTCCCCTCTTCCTCCACGCCAAGCCCTCTCCGCGGGAGGATGCTGCAGTTATTGGGCCGGCGTGATGCAAGCAAGCAAAGCAAGCAGCTTCTTGCGCCAAGGAACGCCCGGGCTGACGCTCGGCAGCTCGTGCTCCTCACCTTTTTTTGGGCGCTGGGGTCCTTCTTGGTGCCTTTGATGAAATCGTTCTTCCCCTTCAGGTGCCGCTCGTACTCCGCGGGCGTCATATCGCCGCCTTCCATCAAGATGTGAGGCATGTGGGGCTCTGGAAACGCAGAACCACTTGAGCTGAACGTCAGCTCGGCACGAAATACAGACACCCCCAAGAAATACAGACACCCCCAAGCGCAGAGACACAGGGGCAGCCCCGAGAAGGTCCGGGATTATCTCACGGAGAGCCCCTGACCCCGACACCAGCGCTACAGGACAGGGCTCTGGGAAGGGGCTGCGGTGGCGGAGGGAAAGCGGAGCCCACGTACCGCTGGGGTGGATCAGGATCTCCACGGGCCTGTCGAAGGTGTGCTTGTCGGCCAGCGTGATGACGATGCTCCTCGCCGAGCGAGCCGAGGGGTCAGCGTCCGCGCGGATTTTGTGCGTGGGGCTCTCGACGCCTGCCCGGGGGAACCGCGGGGAGGTTGGGGAGGACCCCACGCCAGGAGGAGGATGATGAGGGCAGGCGTTGCCTAGAGGTGATAAGAACCCCGCAGCACGCCCTACCTGCCAGCAAGCACGGCCCCCGGATCTCCAGGTGGAAGCTGAACTCGTACTCGGAGGGGTTGGTGGCCTCGCTCTCCAGCAGCTGGGCCAGGCAGGAGCTGCTGCCCTGCTCCGGGCTCCCCGATCCGCAGCAGGGCTTGGCTCTGCGGGTGAGAGGAGCCCCGGTTAATGCTGGCCACGTGTGCTGCGTCCCCAGGGACTGAGCATCCGCAGCCCGGTGTCCTCTGGGGTGTTGTCCCCAGTCCCCCTCCCGCTCCCCGGTCCCATCCCGTGGCTTCGTACGTCCGGAGCTGGTGTGCAGGAAGGGTGCTGGAGCTCTCCGAGCTGTGCTGCGGGACCCTGGGGACGCACACAGCTGGCAGCAGGACCCTCACGGCCCCGCTGGGCAGAGTCTGCAGCTCCGAGGAGGTGCTGATGAAGACGGAGATGCTTTCCAGGGGAGGAATCGTGCCCAGGCTAGCCACAAAAGCGATCCTCTCCAAGTCCTCGTCCAACACAATCCTTCCTGCAGAGATGGCCACGAGACGTGGTGTCAGCCACACAAACTGCTCCTCAGGCCTCCACCACCACCCCAGCCCTGGGCCAGATGCTCAAAGCAACCTCTGCTGCAGAGATTCCTCCCGAGAGCCCAACCCACGGCCCTCTGCATCGCCCTTTTGGCTCTCCAGCAGCAACAGCACTTTCCAAGAGGGATGGGACCATCCCTTTTGGCAGACACCATAGGGATACGAGCCCCACAGCCTCATCTTTTCAACACTTTTTCATCTTTCCTTCCCCCGTGCTCCCCCCCAAAACCCTCTCACCGCTCCTGTCGTGAGCTTGTCCGTCGGGGAGGCCGCAGCCGTCGAAATAGGTGGCATCGATCTTGGCCTTGTCCTTGATCTGCACGGTGATGGCACGCCGGCACACCGCCGCCTCGAACCCCACCACGGTTGTGTGCTCGTCCAGGGGGAAGACGAAGAGCCCTGATGGCCAGCGGGGTGTTAGCCCAACAAGCCCTCGCCCAGACCCACCGCAGGGGGCTGCTTCTCCCCGCTCTGCGCTCCCCACGTGGGTTTTTCCCAGGGGAAGAGGTGGCAGAGGGGCATGCTGCTGCCCCCTCCACCTCAACGGGTGGAGAAATGGGGCTGGTGAGAGCCTCACAGGGTTCAGCAGGGGGAGGAAGGCACAGAGAAACAACCCCGGGCTGGGAAATGGGCTGGCCAAAAAGGATTTGGGGATCCCGGTGGGCACCAAGGCGAGCCAGCAGCGCGCCCTTGCTGTACAAACACCCGTGTAACTTTGGGTTCACAACGACCGAGGGGAGGCAGCTCCCGAAGCAGCACGATCCCAAAACCCCGTGCAGACACTTGCCTTCGCACGGCTGCGCCTCCGGGTTGCGGTAGGTGAGCGAGGCCGTCACCCCGCAGGCGTAGCCGCTGACGCACGAGGTCACCTCGGAGGCGGCGAGCGGCAGCGGGCGCCGGGTGCCGCGGTTGAGCAGCCCCCCCGGCATCTCCCCCGCGGGGCCGGTGGTCACGGGGTGCCTGGTGGCGAGCTGGGGGACGCAAGGAGGAGCCCTGGGGGACCCGCACGTCCCCGTCACCTCTTGGTGTCTTCAGCAGCCCTGCTGTGCCTGCGGTTTTCCTCGCTCGCTCCCCGCAGCGGTCTTGCTACTGGCTCCTGGGTTTTTTGCAGCCCTGTGGGTAGGACAGAGGGCAGGAAATCTCCATGGGACAAGTCCCGGGGTGATGGCCCTGCTGGCAGAAGTGGGGACGGAGGTGAGACCCCATAAGACACCGATGGGGGATGCAGGACCCTGTGGGGCCAGGCAGCAGCAGGACATCGTGGGGGTGAGCAGCACACCTCGCCAGCCCCCCGTTACTGCTGGAGCGGGGACAGAAGGGGGTGGCTGTGGCCTTCCAGGCTGTCCTCATCCCCCCCAGGGGACACGTTCCCCATCTCCTGCACAGGGTGACTCATCCTGGCACAGCAGAGCCATTCGGATGCAAAGCGGCCGCTCCTGCCAAGCACATCTCAGCCCTCTCCCTGCAGCTTTCCTCGGTGCCAGCTCCTCTCCCCCAAGGGCCGGGGTGCCAGCTCCCACCCCAGGTGAGCCCGAGCCCTGCCCCAAAATTGCCCAAAAAGATGTGGAGGGCTCAGGGGGGCTCCATTCCCTGCCCCAGGACAGGGCTGGAGGATCCGACACCAGTCAGTGACTGCAGCACAGAGCAGGGAGCGGGCACGGGGACCCCCGGCGCACCCCCTGCGCCCCCCAGGAGCCCACCCCAAGCTCCCAGCCGGCAGCACCCTCGCTCCCCAGCAATTTCTGCTGGCATGTGTGGAGCATCCCTGCATCCTCCCAGCCTCGGACACCGCTTGCTGCAGCGTCACAGCCACTGGCCCGGCCTCAGGACAGATCAGCGCGGCCGCCCTGCGCTCGCTGCATCAGCAAAACCAGCCGTGCCCGTAATCCTGCCCGCCAGGGGAGCAGCAGCACAGGGCTCTGGACGTCAGTCGTCACTCGGCTGGCCACGCTCAGGCTTTATTTTCCCCTTGCTTTGCAAATGATCTTTCTCGGGCCGCCGGGGAGGGAGCTGTGCTGGTGAGGAGCTGGGAGCTCAGCCCGGCTGAATTCGGTGCGCCACGCACGGGGCTGGTGCTGCTGCTGCTGCTGCGCCGACGTCGGAGGATGGTCGCTGTGACGTGCAGACAGAGGGGCTCTGCTGCACAGCACGGGTGTGATCGCCACGGGCAGGCTGGGAGCTGGATTTTAAGCTCGGGTAAAGGGCAATTACGTGCCTGGAAGCAGGGTGTGAAGCCCAGAGGGCTGCTCAGGTGATATCCGTGCCCCTAAAGGCTTTGGTGCCGCCAAAAAAACTGTCTCTGGAGCAGGTGTGCTCAAGGCAGAGGCAGAAAAATGCTCTCCTGAGGTTTGTTTTCATGCATTGAGGAGAAAAGAAAACCCTGACTGCTGTATGCAGGTAGCCCAGCCCCCAAAACAGCGCCGGGGTCCTGGCAGTGCCACCACCCAGAAAGGGACCACAGGGTCCCCAGCACCCACAGCGCACCCATGGCATGGCCCCCGTGTCCAAAAGGTGGCTGAGGGTGAGGAGGGAGTGGGGAGAGGTGAGAACGCAGCCACTTGTGCCGAGCACAGGCCAGCTGTGCCCTCAGGGATCTCACTCCCACCCCATCCTCAGTGTCGGTCTCATAACCAGGCAGAAAACGTCCCCGTGGCCCCCGCTGGCTGGAAAGCCCCCTGCCATTTGGCCACAAGCTGTGCTTTCATTCCGTGCCACGACAAACCCCAGATTTTTCCTCCTTCTTGCTTCCCCTCCACCCCACCCCACATTATCTGCCGGGGAGAAGGAACCCTCCCGGTAATTCCCCGCAGATATCTCACGCTGGCACCACGGCCAAACAGGGACCAGCGAGCCTCAGACCCGAGCTCTCAGCCCGTGCCTCTCCCCAGAGGGGGTTTTGGGAGCAGGGTTTTGGGAGCAGTTCCGCTCGCACCCCGGCAACGTCACCTCCAGGTCCCACCTAAATCCACCCCGCTCGGAGGGTGCCTGTTGTTGTGCAACTGGTTGGAAAAAAAGAACAAAACACAGATATTCCTTCGGCTTCATTTGTATCAATCAACACTGACATCCAGTGGCTCTCCAGGCTGGGTACAGCCGCCGTGCCTGGCGGAGACGGGCACGGGAGCGCCTGTTGCTGCGGTGTGGGAACCCCAGCAGCACCTCGGGAAGGTTCCCGGCAGCCACACTGGGAAAGCAGCACCCCACCTGCCTGCAGAGCCAAAATAACCAAGCCCCTGCGTTCCCTGAGCTTTTTGGGATCTAAACAGCAGCGGTATTTGTTGTGGCACAGCTCAGGGCTGAAGCTACCAGGATTGCTTCCAGGATGTGCCCCGAGAACGCGAGCGGTGCTGTGTGGGAGCCTCTCCCAGCTCCTCTCCTGCCCCAAAATACAAGTGCTCAGTTCCCTGCCTGCCCTGAAAAAAACAGCAGAACCGCTGCTGCTCCCCACCCTGCGCCTCTGCTCCCAGCTGGAGCAGATTTCTGCCCCTGTGGGAGAGGCTGGTGTGGCCCCAAAGGGCCCCCCGAGGCTGTCCTCACCTCCCCAGGGATGGATTTCAGGGGGTGCAGGTTGTGCCCCGAGCAGGGGCTGGGCCGTAGCTCTTGCCCCAGGTTATGGGGCTGGATTTGGGTTCTGGGGTTGGATTTGGGTTCCTGGAGCTGCCACTCGCATCCCTGCTCTGGGAGCACCTCCAAAAGCAGGGGTCTTTACCCCTCCAGCCAGAAGGGGGGCAAGGGGGAAGGTGGCAGGGCAAATTTTGGGTGTTACCATCGCACCTCGCCTGCGAGCAAACTTTACAAGCCCCCAACGAAGGAAGCCAAGCCAGAGGGGATGTGGACATGGTCAAGGAGTGACCCTGCTCCATCCTCCTCCTCATCCCAGCACAGAGCTGCCCAGCTGAGCACGCAGCCCAGCCCCTGGTGCTGTGAGCCTTCACATGGGGGGAGCAGAGGGCTCCCCAAAACCACTGAGGTCACTGAGATGGGCTCGGTCCCCTCTTCCCCCAAAGCAGTGTGTCATCTCCCTCCTTCTGCCCAGGAGAGGAGAGGACTATCACCCCCAGCTTTGCAGCACCACCATCCAGCCCCCTTCCCTTGCCCCCTGCCTGCAGCCCCATCGACGGGGGGGCATCGTTTTGGGGAGCCAGGGGAAGGGGGGGGGGGACACACACGGCCAGGGGCTCCCCAACCAGCTGAGAAAGGGCCAAGGCAGGGAAGCAGCAGCTCTGCCAAGTGTGGGCTTGTTGCCTGCAGAAAAATATTGTGACAGGGATCCTGCACCGCCTGGCGAAGCAGCAGCCCGCACCCCCGCCCCAAACCAACCTCCCCCCCCACGACCAGCCAAAAAGGTGCAGGAGCAAGTGGAGAGCATCGGCTGCTTTCTTTTCCTTACCTTTCCCTGGGAGAGGGGGTGGGTGGGTGGCTGGGGGGGTGGTGGGGGTGCTGGAGCAACTTCCCCCCCCCTCCTGCAAGCTCCTGCAGCTGGGCTGGGGGGGTCTGGAAGGCGGCCGGAGGGCTCTCGGAGGGCGGCCGGCACTGCTTCAGCCCCTGCTTTTGTCTCTGAAAGGCACGGAGAGAGACAGGAGATGAGGAGGGAGAGAGAGCACGGGAGGGAGAGACGGCGCGCCAGGGCTCGGGGTGGGGGCAGCCGCACAGCGGCCACCTCGGTGGCCTCCCCCCCCCAAAGAAAAAATAATAAAAAATAAAAAAATAAAGAAAAATAACCCTGACCCTCTCCCTCCTGGCCACACAGTGGGGCTCGGTGGGGTGCGGATGGGGACGGGGCTTACCTCGGTGGACACACACGTGCGAGCACGCCGAGGTTGGGTCCCGGCTCGCTGGCTGCCCCCGGTGCGTGGCTGCAGCCTTGGAGGAGCCCCGTGGGTGCCCATGGTCAGCTGGAGCCATTTGTGTCTGTCGGGGAGAGGTAACCATGACAATCGCCTCCCGCGGCCCCCTCCTGCTCCCGGGGGTATGGGGAAGGGATGGAGGACGAGCACGGAGCCCAGCGGGAAGGGAAAAGGCACTTTGCTCGTCTGCTTCCCTCATAGGGGAAATCAAAGCCCCACACGCAGCTCCTCGCCCCCTGCTCGCTGCTGTGGGGCACACAGGACACCCATGGGGTTGCCCTACAAGTGAGGATGCTCCAGCAGGATGTGCTGGTGCCGGACACGAGCACCACACGGGGCGGCTGGGGCTTAAAAAGGGGGAGAATGGTCAGGGGGAAACTGAGGCACCGGGGACAGGGCTGCACGGCTCCCCAGGGAGGGGACATGCAGCAGGGCTGAGGTTTTCCAGCACAAGTCCTTCTTGTGGGATGGGTGAGCAGACTGAGAACCACTTCGGCCCCACCTAGGACCTGTTTTCAGAGGGAAATTCACAAACCCTGCCAGCAGACCCCAGCCGAGTTTCCTCCCTTCCCCGGAGGCTGACTTCAGCCCCGAAGCCGGAGGATTTACGGTCCTGATCAGACAAATAAATCAGCCGCAGAGTAGCCCACGTAGCCGGCTGCCTGCTCCGTGTTTGCTCACTGTGGCTCTGCCGAAGAAAAGAACATTTATTGGGGAAAATCCCCGGATTCCTACCAGCACACGTAGCCGAGGCAGGGTTATTTGCTTTACCGGCGAGCTGTGGGACCCACCTGAGGGCTGCTCACACACCAGGAGCACAGCACGAGGCTCCCGGCCCCTCCGCTTGGTGTCCTGAGGAGGTTTCGGTGACACGGAGCCTCTGCAGGGTACCTGCATGGAAAGGGACCAGAGGGACTCTCCTGGATTTATTGGGAAGGAAAAAATCACAGAGAGCTGTGTGAAGGGCCAGGCCTTGTGTCCCAAAGTTGTAAAAACTTGCCTCATTTTGGTCTCTCGAGCTTTGGGAGGTGTCAGCAGCTCAAGCAGCTGCTCCCCGGACCCTAGGAGAAGGGCTCGCCTGCCTGAGGGACCCCCCCTCACGCAGCAGGACAGGGCCTGGCCCCAGCCCCATATCATGGCATAGGGCTGGGCCCTACAAAACGCAGCAGGGGAGGGCTGGCTGCCAGTCCCATCCCACGGGACTGGTCCCCATACTGTGCAGTGAGGCAGGCCCTGACCCCAACCCACCATACAGGGGACCAGGACCCTTGCCTCACAAGAGGCTCAGGCTGACCCCAGCCCCACACCACACAAGGGGCCAGGACTGAGCCCATACACAGAGGCTTAGGGTGACCCCAACCCCACACAGGGACGAGGATCCTTCTGTCACAGGGATGCTCAGGCTGTCCCCATCCCCACACAGGGGCCAGGACTCACCCCACACAGGAGGCTTGGGCTGACCAGGACCCTTCCCATACAGGAGGCTCAGGGTGACCCCAGCCCCACACAGGGATGAGGACCCTTCCCAAATAGGGATGCTTGGGCTGACCCCATCCCCACACCACACAGGGGGCCAGGACCCTTCCCACACAGGGATGTTCGGGCTGACCCCATCCCCACACAGAGGGACCAGGACACTCTCCATACAGGAGACTTGGGCTGACCCTAGCCCCACACAGAGGGACAAGGACACTGCCCATACATGCTTGGGCTGACCCCAGCCCCATATGGGACCAGGACCCTTCCCATACAGAAGGCTCAGGCTGACCCCAACCCCACACAGGGACCAGCACCCTTCCCATACATCACCCTCAGCCTCACCCCATCCCCTCACCGCACCCTGGCAGCCCCATATCCCCCTATTCTCCCCTAATCTCCCCTATTCTCCCCTATTTTCCCTTTATTTCCCCCTTTTCCCCCTCAAATCCCCCGGAACCCGCGGTGGCGGAACGCCGCCCGCCCTGCCCGTGCAGCCGCCGGCCCTGAGGAGCGCGGCGCAGGCGCCCTCCCCTCGCCCGGCGCCATTGCGGCTGCTGGCGGCGAGGCCCCGGCCCGGCCCGGCCATGGCCACCGACTCGTGGGCCCTGGCCGTGGACGAGCAGGAGGCGGCGGCGGAGTCGGTGAGAGGCGGCCGGGATCGGGGAAGGGGAATGGGAATGGGAACGGGAACGGGGCCGGGAACGGGGCCCGGCAGCGCTGGGGGGCGGCCGCCGCCTCCTCGCAGGCAGCGCTGCAGGGACCCGATTCTCCCTTTTTTCCCCCCATTTTTCGGGTCGTTCGGTCGTGGGGTCGGCTCCTCAGGTTTTGGGGGCGATATATATAAATATATTTTTTCCTCTTTTCTCTACTTCCCCTTCATTCTTTCCCCTCAAGGTGCATCCAGGCGCTGCCTCAGCTCAGGGTCCTGCTGCCTCTCGGGCCCCACAAACGCCTTTTTTGCCCCCATTTCTGTGCCCTGTCTTCACGCCGTCCCGGCAGCGGAACAAGCCCTGTGCTGGGGACGCTCAGCCCCATCCTCATCCCCCATTCCCATCCTCATCCCCTGTCCCCATCCTTGTCCCCTATCCCCGTCCTCAGCCCCTTGGATTTGGGGTTTCAACACCCCCGTCCTCACCAGGGTCCTGACGCCGCTGTTTTTCCTCGCCCACAGCTCAGCAGCTTGCACCTGAAGGAGGAGAAAGCCAAGCCGGATTCCAACGGTGAGTTACACTCCCTGTGGCGGTCTCACCACGTTCCTGTTAGGAGCAGAACCCCTCAGGGACAGAGGGGACGACCCTGAAGATGGTGGAGTCCGAGCCGAGCAGCACCCTGCAGTCAAGAAACTGCAGGAAAAAAAAACAAACCAGAAAGCTAAGATTGCTCAGCCAGTCACAATGATTTAACTTTCCACCTCTTGAGCTTGCCCTGCTGGGCTAACTCTTTCTGCCTGGGTCTCGATGGCAAAATTTCGTGGTGTGTTTGGCTTGGACCAGGCACCAGCATCAGTTTGGCTGCACAAAGCAAGCTCTGCTCGGTTTTCTTGCTTCACAGCCACGGGGCTGTTTGCCGAGCTGCTCTGCAGCTTTTCTGCAGAATTCCAAACCTAAATCCCCTAAATCCCACTCCCCTCTCTTTGAATTCAGGTGCTGTCGTCAAGGTGGACGACAACGTTGAGAAGACAGAGGATGAGGAGAAAGGTGGGTGCTGGTCGGGTGAATGGTGAGGCACGTGGAAAGAGATTTGTTTCCTGTGTACCTAAAGTGAGTCCACCTTATGTCCCAGGGTGGATGATCTTGGCTCCTGCCCCAAGGACCTAGTTGTAAATTTTAAAGCCGTTGGGTTCTGTAATAACTTGGGGGACTCCTGGGTTAGAGTGGAGAGAGGTGAATTTCTGAAGCAACTGCATTTCAGCATTTCTGAAATGGTTGTTAAGGGGTGGGGGACGGCCCTAAATCCTTCAGAAGGTGCCTTATGAGAAGCTCACTTTAGAGGACAGACTCGTGAGGAAAACCGCAAAGTGCAGCAACTTCACCTTTGGTTTTGATCTCACGTATCCTTAGCCCTTAGAGTGTTCCAGCCCTGGAATCTTGAAATGCCGTTTGTCCTCAAACCTTCCTTAAAAGGAAAAGAAAACAGAAACAAAAAGGTGTCTGCCCACAGGTGGCAGTGGGGCTTTTGGCCCTGTCCCACCTCGCAGTTAGGTGCTGAGCTGCGGGCTCTGAAACCTGCAGCTTAACAAACAGAGCTCGTGTGTGTTCAGGTTCCCCCCTGGCCTTAAAACTGAGCCTGCTTTTCTTTACCTTCCTGAATACTGTGGGGGGTGCCTCGACAGACATTTCATTTGGGAAATTGGGGCTCTGTCACGGTTTTGTTCCCTACCAGGGAGTTTGGGTATTTCTGGGGCTGGGTGCAGCGCATCCTTTCCGACCGGCCGTGCCGCGTTTCAGCGGGAGCAGGGGCTGAAACAGGCCCTGACCGTTTTCCCACCTCCTTTTTTTTTTTTTGACAGAGGACAGAGCCACCCAGTCCTTGCTCAACAAGCTGATCCGCAGCAACCTGGTGGACACCACCAACCAGGTGGAGGTGCTGCAGAGGGACCCCACCTCGCCGCTCTACTCCGTCAAGTCTTTCGAGGAGCTGCGCCTGTAAGTGCTGTCAGCTCGGGGCTGTGGGGCCGGTGGTGGTGCCAGGAGCTCCTCTGCACTGAGCTGAAGAGCAGAAGGGTTGAACGGGCTCCCCTGTGGCTGTTTTGCAGCTCGTTATTTGGCCCCCACGGTTGGGGGGAGTGTTGAGCTCAGCAGGGGCAGCTTTGAGGAGCCTGTGAGAACAGATGCGAGTCTGGAGCCCACCAGATGGTTGTGGGCTCTCCTCGTGCCCTGTTAGATTTCCTGGCTGCCTCAGACCACTGAAAAGTGCACAGGCTTCTGGTTTAAGTTCCTGCAAATTTGTGTTTAAGATATCTCTGAACCAGCTCCTGTTCCTGTTCTTGGGTTATTTGGGGAGATCCAGCAGCAAACAGCACAAGGGTGCTTGCCTTTCCTCTGCCAGAGCTCTGGGTTTCCAACGATCTCAGGGACATTCGTAGCTGAATGTCTCCCAAAAAACTGAGAGCCTGTGGTGCCCTTTAGACTCATTCCCATCTCTCAGAAGGCAAACAATCCCGGGGAGTTAATGACAGGGGCAAGCAGACTAATTGAGCCGTCGCGTTACGAGGCGGTGTATCCTTGGCAACTGTGGCGGAGCCGGGCTCTGTCCTTGCTGCTGAGCAGCACAAGGTTATGTTTCAAAGGGCTTTTGTTCGAGCCATCCCCTGAAAGTAATACGGGCTTTTTAAAAAGCGTGTTGTGCTGAGTGGGGAGTGCTCAACAGGAGGAAACGGTGGGCAGGAAAAGAGTAACCTGCCTGGAGTGGAAAGTGCTCGCTTCTTGACAGCACTTCAGTGAGCGCCTGGAGGCTGGCGGTGAGTCTGCTGACACCATGAGCTGAATTTTGGGTTGTTCTCGAATCCCCTTGGCTACACAAGCACCAGCTGAGACTACAAAACTCCCCTGAAGAAAGATCAGTGTGAGTGTTTGAGGACTGGCGGTGTTGCTACACCCCTGGGTTGTAGCGACAGAGGCTGCTTGGCTGAATACTCAGGTCTTGAAGGAGCGACCGTTTTGGTGCTGAGGTCTGAGGAGGAGGGATTGCCCTAAAGGCCAGGATTAATGGTCTCTACCCCACAATCCCTGGGCTTGTCTGAAAAGCTGCTTTAGAACATGCGAGAAGCCCAGCAGAAGCCTCTGGAGCTGCAAAACAAAGTTTTCCCTGCAGTGTGAAAGGCAGGCGTGCAGCTTGACGTAGTAAACTGAGCTGGTTTGGGTTTTTTTTTTTGAAGCTTCTGTTCCAAGCAGCACTGAGCTCTCCCTTGCTGCTGCAGCTTCCTGGTGCCTGTCGCAGTCACTCACCTGTGGGATCACAACGGGCCCGCAGAGCCTGGCAGCTCTGGGTCCAGCTGTAAGGGTTTTTCTTGCATTTTTTGTCCACAAATGAAATCCAAGTGGATTTTAATAGCCTGCAGCAGAATAGCAGCGTGGTGCTGCTTCTGTATCTGAGTGGGAAACGTGAACTTTTTTGGCATTTCTGCTCAGCTGGAGAAACACCTAAATTTCCACAGGTAACAAGGTGTGAACAGGGAAGTTTTTTCTGATAAGCCCACAGCTTCACAGCAGTTAAGAGCGTAATGTTCTCAAAAATAAACAAAAATAAAGAGATCATATGGCTGGAATAATGGTTAGAGGCCCCTGGCCAGCTGTGGTGTTGTGCTGACCTCGGTGAGATGAACGCTGAGCCACCCTTGTTCGGTTCTACCCAAATCCTGCCTGCTGGAAGAGGTTTGAAGGCAAAGCTTAAAAGAAAACCTCTGTTTTCTCTGTTTTCAGGAAACCGCAGCTCCTGCAAGGAGTTTATGCCATGGGCTTCAACAGACCATCAAAAATACAAGAGAACGCCCTGCCCATGATGCTTGCTGAACCGTACGTACACGTGCCTGCTGTGCCCTGTCAGCAGAGGAAGGAGTTGAAAGGCCTGATGTGCCGTGGGATGGGAGGGTGGGGAAGGGCTCCCCAACCCCAGTATTTCTGGTGTGACAGCTGCCTTGGGTTTTTCCTTTGCCTGGAGCTGCTCCTGGTAAATCCAGGGAGAAATAAAGCTGCTAGAGAGCACGGCTCCAGCAGTCTGGGCTGGGGGGGGGGGGTTGTTGAGGTGCTGCATCGTCTGCTGGGCAGGCTTTCCCTGCGCTGCAAGGTGGGAAGTACTGAAACACCAGGGGGAGATGTGCATAATGCAAAAGTCCTGCCAGAGAACAGCAGTTTTCCTCCAAAATCTCCATAACTAGGAGGTCACTTGGGCTGAAAGAGAGTTGGTAGGGGGTAGAAACCAACTTCTGCTCCACGGTGGGCACACACGCAGCGCGGTGATGCATCTAACAGCTGTTGAAGTGGTTAAGCCTGCACTCGCTGCATCTTCTTTGTCGTCCAGCATTGCTGGGTGGCTCGTTTGGTTGGGCTGGTGTTTAACAGGCTGGTGTTTAACTCTGCCCTTTGTCGCTGCAGCCCACAGAATTTGATCGCGCAGTCTCAGTCCGGTACTGGCAAGACGGCTGCCTTCGTCCTCGCCATGCTCAGCCGCGTCGAACCCGGGAACAAGTACCCACAGGTAACTTCTCTGGTTCTGTGGGGCTTTGGGGTGGTGCAGGGCCACCTCATAAGGAGGCTGGACTTCTCTCAGGGCCTCGGAGAGCAAATTCTTGGCTTGCTGAACCTGTCCCTGCAGTGCTCTTTCTGTAAACAGCTCAGCAGGGGCTGGCAGCGTGGGCAGCCTTTAGGTGTGGATTTAGCTGACAGCTTCCTCCTGACACTCCCTCCCTTTTGTTGGTCTGGATGCCGTTGTCCTGTGAGGAGTTGCCATTCTGGGAGGAAGTAAATCAGAGAAAATCTGCAGGCTGAGAGGGGTTGAGGAAGTGTAATTTGAGATGGAAGAGAAGAGAGCTGTGACAGTAGGGCAGACAGTGCCTGGAAAGGGACTTTTTAAACCCAATATCCTTAGAAGATAGTTGAGCACTGTTACCAAGGCCAGGATTCTTTCCTTAAAAAATGCTGTTCTTAAAGGTGGTAGATTCCTTGTTACTACTATCCATGCTTGTCCCCGAGCAGACAATCTGTATTCTCAGGTCTTAAAAAGCAGAACAGAACACAGCGAGCCAGTCACCAAGTGACTGTAACACATAAACTCCTTGCCATAGTTTCAGAATGCAGAACTGGATAGGTTTTCACAAACAGGTGAAAAACCTCACATGTTTGCCCTCTGTAGAACTCCAATTAGGGTTTTTAAAAGCAGGTGTTGTAGTGTTGCCCAGGGCAGTGGTCGTCTCACACTCGTTATTCCTCTGTCCCTCCAGTGTTTGTGCCTTTCCCCAACATACGAGCTGGCACTTCAGACGGGAAAAGTGATCGAACAGATGGGAAAGTTTTACCCAGAGCTGAAGCTCGCGTATGCTGTGCGAGGCAATAAATGTGAGTAAGGTGGAACACCACCAACAGGCTGCAAATGAAAAAATGGGGCTGCAATACAGCATGGGAATGTAACGCTTTTAAAACATGCAAATCAGTCTTCTGGGCTCAGTATTAGATGTGAGCGCTGCCAAGTCCTGTTCTCACCAGTATCAGGCCTGTACCGAGTACAGATTTGAAGCAATGGGAATTCACCTAGAGGGGGGCACTGGGGCAGTGCTGAATGTTTTTGGCTTTACCACGATTTCTTCCTTAACGCAACCTCAGCTAAATACAAAGAGTTGTATTGAGCTGCTCATGCAGTCTGGAGATGCAGTCTAACAGCTGAATTAAAAGAATTGTGCTGACTGTTAAATCTTTCAAACCAGAATGAAGCAGTGGGGCCTGTATGCTTCACACACTCGCTTTCTCACCTGTGAAGGGACACACAGCACTAGCACAGCCAGCCTTTCAGCTACGTGTACCAGTCAAATGGTGAAATAGGCTAGTTTGGAGAGGGAGAGGGGGCAGAGCGTTTCGCTGTCTGCACAGCCACCTTGTGAACGATTTCCTTTGTGTCTTGGCAGTGGAGAGAGGTCAGAAGATCTCTGAGCAGATTGTAATCGGCACGCCTGGCACTGTGCTGGACTGGTGCTCCAAGCTGAAATTCATAGACCCCAAGAAAATCAAGGTGTTTGTCTTAGACGAGGCTGATGTGATGATAGCAACCCAGGGCCATCAGGATCAGAGCATTCGCATTCAGAGGTAAGGACTTGATGAATGTTGCTTCGGGTAGGGAGGAAACTATTTCTTCCTCTGAATGATAGCTAGTTTGTAACTTCGGGACAGTGGGGCTATGTTCTTGCCTGGTGTCTTTCCTGAGAAAGCAACAAGATTAAAACGATATATTTAGCTGTAATTCTAATGGCTAGTGGAGGCGGAATGTCAGGGGATGACAAGCAGTTTAATTTTCTCGGAGAATAAAACGTCTGTCCCTGGAGTAAGGCTTATTCATTTTTAAGAATATGGGTCTGGATGCCTCCCTTCCATGGGGAAATGATCAGGTGTTGGTGAGAAAAGCACGAGCCTTGGCAGCCGTAGAAATGGCTCTGAGGATATTGTTCTGCCTTGCCCGGGACATGAATCCCGTCAGGGTGTCACAGGGCCACGGTGTTGTTGCGTGGGGACCCTGCCCATTTTGCCTTCTCTTGCAGGATGCTCCCCAGGGACTGCCAGATGCTTCTGTTTTCAGCAACTTTTGAGGATTCCGTGTGGAAGTTTGCTCAAAAAGTTGTTCCTGACCCAAACATTATCAAGCTGAAGCGAGAAGAGGAGACGCTGGACACTATTAAGCAGTATTATGTTCTGTGCAATAACAGAGATGAGAAGTTCCAGGCTCTCTGTAATATCTATGGCGCTATCACCATTGCCCAGGCCATGATCTTCTGCCACGTGAGTCCTTTTGGGGAATGTTAGTCCCAAGAACCTTGTTAGTATCTGTTGGTGCTAAAAATCTTGCTCTTTTTTTTTTTCAAAAGGTAACCAAGGAGACAGATTGCTCTTTTCTTTGGCTTTTCTGGCTGCTTCTTTGAGTGATATCCTGATTTCACTCAAAGAAATGGCTAATCCACAATGGCCATTTTTATTCTTGAAGTCTTCTGAAGCAAAGATCAGAGTAATGCAGCGTATTCCAAGACAATATTGGTCAGAACTACAGAAAAAAAAAAGTGAGGTTGGCAGGTGGATAAAACCACAGTAGAGTGAGGGATGGGAAAGTCTTGAGGTTCATCTGATACAGTTTTTTCTCTAACCCCATTTCCCTCTGGTAATGGGCTGTTACACAGCTGGGATCTCTCCGGGCATTACACCGAGGCTTTTTCTTTTTTATGGAAGACGCTGATCTTAGAAAAACAGTGCAGATAGCACCAGCTGAGCCCCATAAAGCTTGCTCAGATAGGATAAAACCTGTATCTGGAGACTGCTGCAGCAGTTTGCTTTTACGCTATCTTGGGATGTCAGACACAGAGCTTGGAAAAACAACATCACTGGAAACAGTTTAATGTATCTTGGTGTAGAGCCTCTGTGGGGCTTCACAGCTTCGTTCTGCCCAAACCCCGTCGCTTTCCAAGCTGAGTTGTTTTGTTTTCTTGACAATGGTCCTGAGACTTTAGTGCACATATGTAATGCCAGTCTCCTCATAGAGTGAAAACTGAGGAGCAGAGCACCAAAAAAACACGTACAGGGGTCCCTGCGGTGGCAGATGCCTGTTTCCCTATGTCTGATACGAGAGCTGGGAGCCCAGACTGGGACAGAGAGGGGGCACAGCAGCTGTGGAACTTCCAGTCTAGCCAGGAGAGGCTTTTTCATTTCCTACAACATTGAAACTTCCCCCCCAAAGACACCCCTCTCTCTCTCTCTCTGTTTCAGACTCGGAAGACGGCTGGCTGGCTGGCGGCAGAGCTGTCGAAGGAAGGCCACCAGGTGGCATTGCTCAGTGGGGAAATGATGGTGGAGCAGCGAGCAGCAGTCATAGAGCGCTTCCGAGAGGGCAAAGAGAAGGTGCTGGTGACCACGAACGTCTGCGCCAGAGGTAGGGCATGGCAGATGTTATAAATGGGGTCTCAAGTCAACACAATATGTGAAAAAGCAAAGCTGCTGAAAGGAGGAGGAATCCTCAGGTGCTGGATAAACCTGAGCAGCTCAGGCTGTTTTTCTGTTCGCCGCTTCAGTGGGATTCTCTGGTGTGGTCACTAGATGGCTAGATGTCAAACCACCCCGTAATTACCCCAGGGAGAAGATCTGTTTACAGTTAGCACTTGTAGGTTCCGTGTTCCTTTGCCGCTTTTGGTGTTGCCTCAGAGTGTGAGACTGGTTTTTAAGTCTTTGCACAGGTTGGAGACAACAACGCAGCAGCTATGTGAAAGCAGCTGGAAGTTCAGCTGTTGAGCAACCTAGATATTTGATAAAAACGCACACAGGTTGGGCCAGAGGAGGCTGTTCCTGCTATGAAATACTTTAAATGGCATCTGATGCTTTCTTTTACCAGGGATTGATGTAGAGCAGGTCTCTGTTGTTATCAATTTTGACCTTCCTGTGGATAAAGATGGAAATCCTGATAACGAGACTTACCTGCACCGGATCGGGCGCACAGGTCGCTTTGGCAAGCGAGGACTGGCTATCAACATGGTGGACAGCAAGCACAGCATGAATATTCTCAACAGAATCCAGGAACACTTCAGTACGTACCCTCGGGCTTATTTCTCTCAAATTAGATGTTCCTGCAGAATTTTGGCTTGCTGTATACTGAGCAGGTCTGCCTAATGAATGTTTGTTGAGCCTTAAACTGCATGCAGAAGAGCACGAGCTGCGTTTTTGCATTGCAGTTGGCTCCAAAAGAAATATTTGGAAAAGAAACTGCACAACAAGCAGTACTTGTCCTCATACAAGAGGATAATGAGCTGTTACCACGGTATACTCTTTGTGAGAGCCACAGATTTTGTAGAGCAGCATGCAATAGGTGCCTCGCGAGTACCTAAATGTTACTTTCAGAGTTCTGAGCTGCTGCATGCAGCGTGAGCAGAACTAAGTTGTTTGTTTGCTGGTTACCTGGGTAGTCCGTAAAGTGGACATGTGGAGCTGGTAACGTATGAGTATCCTGCTGGGCCTTTGAGAAAAGAAAAAAAGTTTTATGTTGTAGTTTTAAAACCTGAGTGAATGTTTCGTGGATGAATCTACACTCAGGACGACCTGAAGAAAGCACCTTTCCCTCCCCTGCTCTGTGGTACAGTGCGTGACTTATTTCTCCTCTTTCACAGACAAAAAGATAAACAAATTGGACACTGACGACCTGGATGAAATCGAGAAGATAACTAACTGAAGTACAGCTGCTGGAACTGGTGTGTACCCTGCTGTGGAAGCTCTCCCACTACAATTGGATCAGCGTTCAGATTGGCATGCCTCTCAGCTAGTCCCGAAAAGGACTCCTAAGATATGAGTACACAAAAATTACCTCATTTTAAAAATTACAGTTGGACTTCAAAACGTGCAACTATGGGGAGGAAATGTTTACAGAAGCTTTTAACATTTCTTAGTCTAGCCTTAAAATGGAAAGATCTTTTGAATTCTAAGAAATAGACTTGCCAAAATTAGGCAATATGTAATTATCAAAAACTAGTCTGGGAAAAAAAAAGCTTTATTGCTTTTAATTGGAGTAAAGTTCAGCCTAAATGTGATCAGTTAAAATTCAGCAGCCAAAAAATAATAGACATGGGTTAAGAAAAAAAAAAAAAAAAGAAAAGCAAAACCAAGGCAGCTGTTTTTTGGCTAGAAACTCAACCTGTACAAAATAGGATGTCATTCTCTTTGGCATTCCTCTGAGCTCTTAAGACTCATTTCTGGCTTCCTGATGGATTTGCCCAGCTTTTTGTTAAGTAAATTGTCCAAAGGATGTCTCCAGTAGGTCAGACTCTCTAACACAGGTGCCGTGTTGCTTTTGCTGGGCGGTATTTTGTTTTACTTTGTCCTCGACTTGTTAGAATGGCCACTGCACGTAAAGCGGTGCGGTGGTGGCAGTGCTGAAGTAAGTACTCTAGAAGTTCATCTGAAGCGTTTAACCTTGCCAAACTATAGGTGGGTAGATGGGGAGGGAGGGACGGTGTGAAGGGAACTGTACTAATAGATTTGCTGAATAAATTCACCTCCGTACAATTCGAGTGTCCGCTGGGGTGGGGGTTGGTCACCTTCAGGCAGGCAGTGCCGGTTCTGAGATGCTGCTGCGAAGCTCTGGGTGAATCATGTACAGAACTGCTGGACTTCACTGACCAGTAACAGAATTATTTGTCTGGCTTAAAAAAAAAAATCGTAATAGCATGTAATGACCAAAAAAAAATACCTTTAGAACACCAAATTTACCTTTACAGGATGTTTCAGTATCAGAGTTTTGAGTTAAATTGCTCAGCCAAATTTCAGGGGGGGAAGCGCCTCCGCTTTCGTTGTGCTCGTAGTGCAGACAGGCAGGTCATCAGTCTCTCGCCCTAAGGTGATCCTCACCAGAGAAGGAATTCTTTGCGACTTCTGTGTGGCTTTTAGTTCGGTTGGGACCATTTTAGCGTGCACAGCTGAAAGCCTGCGGGTTGCTGCCCCAGCCTGGTTTCCAGGAGAAGGAGGCTCCTGACCTAGAACTTAGTGGTGCACAGCTCTTGGGGGGGGAAAATGGGACATGCGTGAGCAGCCATGGGCCTGCTACTCAGTGCAGGAATCACTTCAAAACAAATGTACAAATTGTAAATTTAACTAGGAATTTACTTTGCAATTTTGGCCATCATATTCTGTTCAAAGACAGGAACATGGATCCTTTTACCAAGTAAAAAAAGGCTCATTTAAAATGTACCTAAAATTTTAGGAAATTGTGCACCCTTTTATCAATTTGTATAAAGGCTTTAGCGGGAAAAAAAAAAAAAACTGTTAAAATTAAACTTTTTGTATTCTGGGGTGTATCTATTTTTATTCTGTTGGAAACCTATTTAAAGTGGCAGGTGAGTGAGTGCTTGCGTGCAGAGTGGAAGACATGTTTCAGTCACCTACTTTGGTAGTACAGCTGAATGACCTGGCGACAGCAGTGCATCGGGTTGAATTGTCACGGAAGCTGCTGCTGGTCCTGTGTGCTGTTTCTAATGTACTTTTAATTGGAATAAAGAACACGAACCGAGCGCTGCCTCAGCTCCTTTCTTGCTTGGACGCCTTTTTCTTGCTTCAAAGCCTCAGGTGAGGAGGGGCGCAGCCAGGAGGCCACGCTGCTCTCCCTCCTCCGGCGCTGTCTGCAGAGCGGGGTGAACATTTTCAGTTCCAGAGAAATCACTTTCAGTTCAACTTTTAGCCAAAAAGGTTTTATTAGTTTTACTCACACACTATGAAAATATTCTGAAAGCAGAAACAATAAACATACATAAAATCAGGTGCCAGTCCCTGTGCGCTGACGCTAGTTTGTTCTCCCTGCGACCATCACTGGCGGTACCGGGAAATCCACATTTTTAAGGCTGGTTTAAGTGTGGTGACGTAGTGGCTGCTCAGCTTTCCTGCAAAACAGTCCTCTTCCTGACAGCAAGAGTGGTGGTTGTACTGATGTACATACACTGATGTAAAAAACCGTGGCTTTACCTCACAATATTCAAACCGTGTGGCTAGCTGCACATTTCTTTTTGTAACTATTGCCTTCAACCATCAGAATTTCCAACAGAAACCCATTTTTTCAGCACACACGCATTGTATTTACCCCCAAACCTGCCGAGTTACCCTGGCAGCCTTTAATGAACTCCCTCTGCAAGAGCCACAGCGGTTTGGTAACAACACGGTCTGCTGGGTGAGCCAAGTCCTCGGTCAAAACCAATTAATACTATGAACGAGCCAACACCCCCAGAGCAGCACCTGCTAGACTTGGAGACCACCTCGCTTCAGCATAAATGGAGTATTTTGCATCATCCCATCCTGACAACCACCTGCTCTTAGCTACAGGGTCACAGGAGCTGAATGAGAGAAGAAAAACGAAGGAGGAGGCCCTGCTGCTCAGCAACGCAACCAAAAAGCAGCTATTTGTTCTTAAAGGGGTGATGTAGCCACACTTAAAAGCTGCGCGGAGGTTTTCCATCAGTAGCCGAGCCCTCACAGGCATGTTTTAATACTTGGCAATCATCTGCTAGCCCCAGCGCGTCCTTGCTGTTATTTTCAGGTGGTTTTAGGGTTTGACCTCAGCTACAGCCTCTCTTGAGGCGGCTGAGGCTGCCGAGGCTGTCGCTGAAGCTGCTGGAGACGACCACAGGGCAAACAAGTTCTGGTTCTGTCTTCCCAGATACGCCATCCCCGCTGGGAAGTGGCACCTTCCTGAAACAAACGACAAGGACACGGAAGAGGCCTCCTGCTCCGAGAAGAGAACAACCTCCAGAGACGAAAAATCAGCAGTTTCAGAAACCAAAAAGGCCAAAGGCTGGTGGCTGTTGAAGGAACTTGTAATCACACATATGGAAAAAAAAAAGATCTGTCAATAGGCAGCGGGTACATACATGCGAGGTGGGATTTCAACACGCAACCTTTAATGTACACGAGGCAGCTCCCAGGGAAGCTTTTGGAACTCAGCAAGCTCCAGAAGATGCTGCGGTGGCTGAGACACGAGGCATCCCGCCCTGAAGTGTGCCTACAGCTCTGCCTCGTGCCGCTCGGCCTGGCGGATGCACAGCACGGACCTGGGGAGGATCCCGCACTCCTGCAGGGTCCGGCTGAGGTCGGGGAAGCTGCGGCGCGGCACCTCCATGGTTTCGATGCTGCAGCGCTCGTATTTGGCCACCGTTTTCTGTTCCGCCACGCTCAGCACGGTCTGGAGGCTGTCTGTGGGCTTGAAGCAGTGCTCAAATCTCTGACCGGAGGGGGACCGAACGGCAAGCAGCAGCTGGGGCTCTTTTTGCAGCGCTTCTTCCAAACTTTGGGGTGACAACGAGGGGCTCCCCCGTCTCGTTTGCCCTCCCGGCTTCTCGGGGGGACGCTGAGCACACGAGCTGCCTTCACCAGGGATGTGAATTTCTGCCAGCCCGCTGGCAGATCCTTGTTCCCCAGAAGGAGCTGGGCTTTGCTGAGCACCCTCCTGCCCCCAGCTCGCCTCATGCTGGCCGCTCGGCTCTGCCACCGTGTCCTTTCTGCCGATGGAGGGGAGCACCCGGTACTTGTTGAGCGAGGAGGAGCTCCTCAGAGGCACTTGCTGCAGGAGCTTGGGGATCTCCTCCGGTGACACGTGGCTGGGTGGGAACGGCGGGTGCGTGGACGAGGCTCTGGGGCTGCTCCCGAACTCGTGGGGAGCTGCTGGTGACGGTGGCACTCTGCAGGGGAAGGCTCCGGAGTAACTGAAGGCCGACCTCGTGCGTCCCTTGGCAGATTTTGGCCGGGTGACGTGCATGGCGGCGGCGGCTGGCTGAAAGAAAGGGGCTGCGGTGCTCGGAGGGACGTAGCAGTGAGCTGGTGCTGAGTTCAGAAGAGCTGCTGTGGCCATTGCTTCCCAGGACACCTGCAGGGAGGGCAGCAGAAGGAAAAGTTACAGGAACTGACCCGAAACCTATAGAATTTAACCTCCCTGTGGCTTTTATGCCAGGTGCCATCCAATAACAGCAAAAATCCGGGGTGTTGTCTGCGTCCTGCGGTGTGCTAACGCCTGGTCACAAATCACCTCAAGTTTTTGAGGCTGAGGGCATTGGAAAGCTGCACCCTTCCCCCTGCAAAGGAAGTTTGTGATGGAAAGAGCAGAAGCATTTGCTGTCGAAACTAGAAACGAAGTGAAAACGGGAGATGAATGAGCTAAGCGTGCACCTGGCCCTTTTGCTGCTCCTGGGACGAAAAATTAAGTTCCTGCTCTGGACTTTCTGGTTACAACCGACTGCTTTGGGCATTTAAAAAAAAATCCCTGATGGTCTGATGGCACGCAGGAGGGAGGGAACAAGCTCTGTGGGAACACTGCAGCCGTGGCGGGTTTGTTTGGCCGTTCAGTGCCCTCCCCAGCCAGGGCTCCCACACAGCAGCACTGACTCTCACCCAGGCAACTGACCGCAGCCTCCTCGCACCCACACGGGGGGGTTTGGTTTACTAAACGCTGACACAAAAGCCCCGAGGCAGTGCAGAGGAATGCCTGAATGCGCTGCAGAGCTTACCGCACATCCCCTGTTGTGCTGGCAGCCTAAAGAACAAACCCCCAACCCACCCAAAGCCACCACGGTGGGATTCTCCTGAGCGAGGCTCTTTGACCCCCTCAGCACTGCACGTGCCAGAGGCTCACCGTGGTGCCAACACGGCACCTTTGGGTGCTGCTGTGAGAGGCTGGGACGGGGAAACCACAGAGCCCATGGAAGGGGAAGGTGGGGGGGGGGGGGGCAAAGCGCTGCAGTCCCACAGCACGGGGAGCGAGCAGCGGGCCCTGAGGGGGGTCAAGCCCCAGCCCCAGGTGTGCAGCCTGGCCTCAAGGTCACAAAAGAGCCCCAAGAGGCCCCCAAAAGAGCCCCAAGAGGCCCCCAAAAGGCCCCAAGGGGCCATAAAAGTCCCCCAAGAGGCCCTAAAAGGCCCCCACCAAGAGGCCCGAGGCCCCCAAAGGACCCGAAAAGGGCCCCAGGAGCCCCCCAAAGGGCCCCAATGACCCCAAGAGGTCGCAAAAGGGCTCTAAAAGGACCCAAGGCCCCCAAGAGACCCCGAAAAAGCCCCAGAAGGGCCCCCCAAAAAGCCCCCCGTGCCGCCCGCCCCTCACCTGCCGCCCGCCGCCCAACACGGCCGCGTTGCCAAGGCGACCGCCCCACTTCCGGCCGCGCGCCGGGCCCCGCCCCGCTACCACAGAGAGGAGCGGCCGCTCTAGGCAGAGCGCCGCCTCCCGCGGTCCTCCCCGCGCCATGTCCCCGAAACCGCGCTGTTTGAACCCAAAAAGTGGCCCGTGGTTGAAAGCGCGGCGCTGAACCCTCCCTGTTGGTGCTCGGGATCGGGTTTTAACCCCCTTCCTTCTTGGCAGTAGCCTCAGAGCAGTGCGATCCAGCAGCCTCACCTGAGTGAAACCAGGTGAATAAACACCAAACTGCCCAGTTCTCTTAAAAAAAATAAAAATAAACAACAAACAAACAGCTAACAGAGCTAAAGCAACACACCGGGGGCTTTTTGGCTGAGAGCTGGCAGAGCCAGGCTGCAAATGGAAGCGGGCACGTCTCCTTTCAGAAAAGCAAGAAATGGGCAATAAATGAGGGGATAATACAGAAACTGCCTTGGGACACGTCACACGGGGCCATGCGGGACAGAAATGGGCACAAACTGGCCCAAAATGATGGTGTGGGTCTGATACGGGCTTCATTTATCGGGTGTCCCCGTGTCCCTGTGTCTTGATGTCCCCGTGTCCCGGTGTCCCTGTGTCCCGGTGTCCCCATGTCCTGGTGTCCCAACCATTTCCAAGCCCGGAGCCAGGCTCCTCTCTGGGGTGGGACGAGAGGCAGCAGGGACACGGTGGCACGTGCAGGGTCCCTGGGACCCTCAGGAAGCCCCTGTGGTGCCGTGCGGGTGCTGGTGCATTAGCAGGGCTTGGATCGAGGGTGCCTCCATCCTCCTCTATTCTGTGATCCTCTGAATACAAAACATGTGACCCTTTTTTTTTTTTTTATGTCCAAATTTCCTTAGAAGCATGTTTAATTACCAAGGGTGGAGCTGTGCATACACACGCCGATAGCGCCCGCTTGTATGGCTGTTTGCTCTGGGCCCCATGGCTTCTCCGAAGCGATAGCCGCCTTTGTTCCTTATCTCCTCCGGCGCTCGGCCTCCCTTTGCATCATGTCTCAGGCGCGGTGATTCAATGACCTGTGCTTGAAAGGCATCTCAGATGGGGCTTTCATGGCGCTCCCAGCCTGCTTGGCTGATGATCTCATTTCACAGCCCCTTTGCCCGTGCATGGGAAGCCCGAGGGTCTCCTGCGCCCTGATGTCAGGACAGGAAAACCATAAAAAATAAAAATAAAAAAAAAACCCTCTGCCCTGCCAGATATTCACCTTCTGGGCATAAATCACTTGTGTCCCGTCTCTCCAGCCACCTAACCCCATGGTGGTGATCTTCGTGCCTGCCTGGAGAGCAGAAGCATCGTTTCAGAGGGAGCACTGCGGCCGCCTGGGTTTTGTGTAAGGGGGGAGGACAAGGAGCCTCTGAGCGATGCACGGACCGAGGAGGGGGTGGACCTCTCCCCTCTCCATCTATATAAAGCAAACCCGTGAAGCCTCGGCTCCGCAGGGTAAGGAGGGTGGGATTTTATTGCCTTCTTACTTCAACAGCCCCAGGGAGCTGCTCGCCGCCTGCTGCCTCGGCTCCCTTCTCCACTGAGATGAGGAATCTGCTGCTCGCCCTGCTGCTGGCTTGCGGTGAGTTGGGTGGTGAGGTTGGGATCTCGTCCACCTGGCATAAATATCACCCAAACCCACAGACTTTGGGCACATTTTGGGGTGTGCAGGTGTTGGCTGAACGTTGCAGTTTCTCCACAATGCCTGGAGTAGGGCTGATTTATTTTAAGAGGCGCTGGGGCCTGTTGTCACCTGCCAAACCCCAGGCTGATGCTGGCGATGTGGTGCGGATGGCCAAGGGATGCGAGTGAGACAGGGCCTGTGAAGAGACCGCTGTTAGCTCCTGCAAAGCCAAATTCGGTCACTGCGAAAAGCAAACAAAATCCAGAGGTGGTTTGGGGAATTCTCAGAGTCTGGCACCCCAAGAAGAGTTCATGTGCACGGGATCACCAACGTGAAACTCACTCCTCTGCTTGGTGTGCAACACGGTGCGGGTGCTGCACGGGGAACACTGTGCCGGTGTGAGCGTGTCCCTCTGTCCCCCTGTCCCCCTGTCCCTCTGTCCCTCCACAGGGCTACAGCCAGCACGTGGCAGCGTTCTGGAGCTGGAGCGCATGATCAAGGCAGTCACGGGGAAGAGCGCGCTGCTCTCCTACAGCTGGTACGGCTGCTTCTGCGGCATCGGGGGCAGAGGCACCCCTGTGGACGCCACTGACAGGTGAATGCCCTGCAAAAGCTCCTCGCTGGCAGCTCCGAGAGGGGTTTTGGCACCACTCTGGAGTCATTTTGCTGCTGCCAAGCCGTTTGCTCCTTCCCTTGCCCGGGCAGGGCTCTGGCACTGACACGGTGTCTCCCGCAGCTGCTGCCGTGCCCATGACTGCTGCTACAGGAGGCTGCGAGAGAGCAAGTGCAGCCCCCTGATAACCCCCTACCAATTTGAGGTCACCGACGGGGACATCACCTGTGGTGAGTATCAGAGGGTGTTTTGCTGCATTCCCCAGCGTGGCAGTGGCCAGCGGGGTTCAGCAGGCAGGGCTGATGCCCTGCAGGGTGCTGGGGCTGCCCACAGACCCCCCCTGCCACCGCAGCATCTCCCACAGCCAACACCAGCTTTGGGGGCTGGAAAAGCCACCGCTGAACTTTGCATTTGTCCCCCGCAGGTAACGAGCAGAGCTGGTGCAAGAGAGAGACCTGCCTGTGCGACAAGGCGGTGGCGTCGTGCTTCGCTGGCGCTCTGCCATCCTACAATCCGTCCTACCGCTTCTACTTCAAGCTGAGATGCCGAGGGAGCAAGCTCCAGTGCTGAGGGGGGCGGGGGGAGCAGCGTGTTTGTGGGTTTTGAGTGGTTTTCCTCATTACGATGGAAAGGAGAGGGTGATCTGGGCACTGAGTGGAGCTGGAGCCCTCTGCTCTGCAAGGCTGTGTGGGATGAGGAGGTCCCCCAGCTCCCCAAAAAACACATCGCCGTTTGTTTTCAGTCTCTTCCTCCTCTGATCTAATTTCCCAGAAAAAAAATAAAAATAAAAATTTGAATAAAAGATACGAGAAGTGCTCTGTGGTGTGTTTCTGTCATACCACGGAGCAGCAGCAGCAGCACCCAGGTTGTGGCACTCGGTGAGAGCTCTTGCACCTCCTGACCCTGTTGCACCAGCTGCCTGATGCTCCGTGGTACCAAAAGCAGCCCCAAAAAGCCGGAGATATGATGCAGACTGCAAAATTCAGCTACTCCCCTCTCAGCTGGGTCTATCCCAGCGCGGAGCTGCTTGAATCCCAGCGCTCTGCATTCAGAAATGGGGACAAATCCACACCGCTAAGCAAACCTCCCTGGGGTCTGCCACCGAAATGATTTCCTTGTGGTGAGCCTGCTTCACCTGGTGCAGCCAAAAAGGCTGCTCCCAAAGCCAAAGCCAGAGCCAAACCACAACGGTGCATTGAAGGGCAGGCAAGGCGTGGCAGAAAGGTGCTTTTAGAGGAGGAAAAAGAAGTGGGAAAACGTGGGAGAAGGTTTGAGACCCTCCTCTGATGTTTACTCGCTAAGAAAATTTGACATTTCTATTGACCAAGGGATTTTCTCTTTCAGCTGCCGTCACCACGCCGTACTTTCCACAGGCGAGCCTCTTTTTTTTTTTTTTTTTTTTTTGCCAGCATTTAAGGATTGCCTTCCCCCTGCTGGCCCTGTGCAGGGAAACCCTGCTGCTTCCCCAGCATCGCTGCCAGCACTGACCAGGGGGCCAGGGGTGGTTGCATTCCTGTAAAGGGGAAGGACGGCGCCTTCTCCTTTCCTGAAAAGTCCCATCAGCAAAATCGGGGTGAGCTGACCGCCCGGCAGCGGGTCAGCAGAGGGGGGAGCAAGCCCTATATAAAGGGATCCAGGCTGACCACTGCCCTGTGAGCGGCAGAGGCTTCCCCGAGGTAAGCAGGGATGCAGGAACGCTTTCATTTATTCCCTTTCCCCCTTTCCTACCTTAACCAAAGCTGTGCTGCGAGCAGGGATGGAGGCACAGGTAGAAAAATCAAGGCTGAGCAGCAGAGGAGAGGCTCTTTGAGACACCAGGCTGGGGCCGTATCCCTTGAGGGCTCCAACTTTTTCTGCTTTCTCTTCATTTTGCTTTTTTATTCCCCCTTTCTTCACCAAAGTCTGGGCAGCACCGGGCCCAGCCTCCCTGCTCCGTCCCCAGCCAGGCACCGCCGCTGCCCCTGGGCGAGGGAGCAGAGAGGAGAGGCCGCCTGATGTGAGAGCCTTGCTGATGCAGCGGGGAAATGATGTGGGTTTGTTTTCTTCTTCCAGAATCACCAAAAAGATGAACTCCCTCCTCGTGCTGGCCGTGCTGTCTGCCTGGGGTAGGTGTCCTGGCTCTCAGGGTGGCCCCAGAAGCGTCCGACACCGCGATGGGGGCCAGCCCTGCTGGGTTTTCCTCCTTTCCCTTTTCCCTTTGTCATCACCTCTCTGAAACTCGTTACATCACCCTAAAAATTGTCCCTCCAACCCTGGGAACAAGTCACCCCTGTCACAGGAGGTGAGGTTGCAGCAGAAGACCCCACACAGGGGTACCAGGAGGATGGCAAAGAGGCGGCGTCCTCGCTGCTGCTGCTTTAACGGGGGGACACAGGGGTGGTGTCAGCCCCGCTGATTTTCCCCCAGGCTCATCCCAGGCCGGGGGGAACCTCTGGGATCTGCAGAAGATGCTCACGAAGGTGACCGGGAGAAACGCCTTCCTGTACTACTCCTCCTACGGCTGCTACTGTGGCCTGGGTGGCCGTGGCCGGCCCAAGGACGCCACGGACAGGTGAGCACCCGCTCGAGATCACTCTGCCCAAAATTTTACCATCCCGCGGGCACCTTCGGCTGCAAACCTGGGGAATAGGGGAAGCAGGGAAGGAAAAAAACACTAAAAATCTTACACAGGTGCTGCCAGCTGCACGACACCTGCTACGACGGCCTCCAGCGCCATGACTGCAATGCCAAGAAGCAGCGCTACCGCTACAGCTGGCACGGCGGCAGCCCCACCTGCAGTAAGTGGGGGCATTGAAAAGGGGTTTTTTGCCCCTCAAATACAATAAAATGAGAATTGGAGCTGATCCCATGCAGGTCGGGACTCCTGGTGCGCCCAGCTCTCCTGCGAGTGCGACCGCAGCCTGGGGCTGTGCCTGAGGAGCAGCCTGGGGAGCTACAGAAAGCGCTACCGCCTGTACCCCCGCTACAGGTGCAGGTGACAGGGGCTGGGGACAGCACGAGGAGGAGGAGATGCTTCGGGTTTGCCCTCTGCTCCCAACGGGGTTTTGCGCCTGGAGCTGCACGGCCGGGTTGAGCTGTGCTCCTACCTGCCTGGGCCATGTCGGTGTTGAGTTTGTGTCGGTGTGGAAATAAATCTTGGGCTTAAAAAATCCCCATTTGCTCGGTGAGCTGCTGCTGGGCAGGGCACAAGCCCTGTAAATGCCCAGCGTTGCCCTCCCTGAGCACGTCGCAGGCTCTGTGGACACTCATCAGGCACTGGGAGGGTGCCCTGCGCACCACTGGGTCCCTTACAGCATGCTCCCAGTGCTCCCAGTAACACCTCAGTGCTGTATAGGGCTCACCAGTGCTCCCCCCAGCAATCCCCAGATCTCTCTAGAGCCTCCTAGCACCCTCCTGGTTCCCCCCAAGTGCTGACTAAAGACCCCCCCGTGGCCTCCCAGTACATTCCAGAGCCTCTGAGCACACATCCAGTACCACCCCGGGCTTTATATAACCACTCACCAACCCCCCAGTGCTGGGGGAGACCCCCCAGTACACCCCCAGTGTCCCCAGGTGCTGCCTGGAGCCCCTCAATATCTTTACCAGTGCCATCTACAACCTGGCAGTGTGCTCCCAGTGCCTCCCAGTGCCCCCCAGTGCCCCTCAGTCCCCGCCTGATGCCTCCCAGTACAATGCACATGGGCCTCAGTACTGCCCAGTACCCCCCAGTACACCCCCAGTGCTTAATAGCACCTGCTGTAACATCCCTGTACACCCCCCCACCACCCTGTGCTGTCTGGAGCACTCCAGTGCCCTCTCAGAAAGAACTGGGGGGAGTACTGGGAGCCTCCAGACAGCACTGGGGGGCAGCAGGAAGGCAACGGGGGCTCTAAAAAACACTGGGGGCACTGGGAATGTCCTCGGGGGCTCTGGAGGGGACTGGGGAGCCCCAGGAAGTTATGGAGCCACTATCAGCAGGAGGGTGCCCGGCAGTCCCTAGCCAGTACCGGGGGGTCACTGCGAGTTTACTGGAAAGCTCTGGATGGTACTGGGGGACAGTGGGAGGGCACTGGGGTGTCCTGGGAAGCACTGATAAGCTGCAGACAGCACCGGGAGCACACCAGGAGGCTGCTGAGAGCCCCGGGGTGGCACCGGGAGGGTGCTTGGGGGGCTCTGGGCTGCGTAAGGCCGGGCTGCGAGGAGAGGATGGGTTTGGCCGGCGAGCCAAGGGGCGTAGCAGGACGGCGTGCGGGGCCGGAGGAGGCATTTTGGGGCTTCCAGCTGGGAGCTGGAGGGCAGCACTCGGCAGCCAGCAGGGATCCGGAGCCGTCGCCGTCCCCCGGTGAGCAGCCCCCAGCCTCAGCCCACCGCCCGCACCCGTGGGGCTGCTGCAGGGACAAAAATAGGGTGGGGGTGCTGGAAGGAGGCGGCAGCACGCTGCGTCTCGCTCTGTTTTTTAAAGGGAGAAGCTCAGCAGAGGGGCTGCAGGCACAGCTTGTGGCTGCCCAGTCCTGCCTGGGTGCCAGGAGCGCCGGTACGGGAGCGGGGAGAGGTCTGGGCGGCAGGGCAGCACCAGGATGTGTTTACACCCTTGGTGTAAGGAGGCACCCCTGCCTTTCTCCCTCCAAATTTTGAGAAGATTTGACCTCATTTCAGAAGAAAGTTTGCTGAGCGGTGTCGTTTCTCCTCCCTGGTCCGGGTAAGAGGAAGATGAAGGTCCTGCTGGTGGTCCTCGCCCTGCTGCTTGCTTGTGGTGAGTGCGGCCAGGCTGCAAAACGTCCCCTGCTCCAGCTGCCCAGGGCAGATTTCTGTACCTAACTCATAAAATCCCACTTTCTGGTTGCTCCAGGCATGCTCGCTGCTCACGGAAAGCTCCCACCTGCATTCGCCCCGGGGCTGGAGGGCAGCACGGTGGGAAACCTGACTGCGCACATCTGCGACTCGGGATGGGGCCGCGGGCACGCAGCGAAGGCTTCAATGCACCGGTACAGCAACAGCAGGTTTTTGGGGAAGTGAGGCAGTGCTCACCTCTTCTTTCAGCCCTGGAGAGGCAGAGACAAGCAGTTGAAACTGCTGGGATGGCAGCGGAGGGGCAGGAGTGGTCCCAAAGCCAGGATGCACAAAGGCTCTCAGAGCCAGGTGGCACAGGGAAGCTGAGAAGAGGCTTGGTGTAGGACAGGGGAAAAGCAGGATGGGGCTGGAGAGCATCCTGGAGCAGCTCCTGGGTGCTTGGTGCAGGAAGGGATGCAAAGCCCTGCTTGCAGAGCCCGTTGTGGGTGGGTTAGAGAGCAGCCACGGCTGCATTTCGCCTGCGGCCAGGCTCTCCTTCTCACTGCAGGTGCTGCCGGCTCCGTGCCTGCTGCTACGCCCGGCTGGCCGCGCGCCGCTGCCGCGTGGGACAGAGCCAGCGCCTCGCCGCCCCCCAAGTGGGGGGTCCTGCCTGCAGTAAGTCCCCTGGCTGAGCTTTGGGGTCACCCTGGAGCCACCCCCCAAGCATCATCCCCGCGCTGTTCATCCTCTCGCTCCCCACAGGCTCGGGGACCCGGTGCCAGCGAGGAGCCTGCAAATGCGAGCGGGCGACTCGGCTCTGCTGGGCACGCAGCCGGGCGCTGCTTAGGTGCCAGGGCCGAGGCAGGCGCTGCTGATGGAGCGAGGCCCTTCACGAACCCACCTCCGTGCTGGTAAGCAGAGGGGGGCTCAGCACGGCGCCAGGAGCCCTTCCCAACCCTCTTCCTCGGGGCTTTGTTTTGGCTTCGACAGGAGGAAAGCCGCCCTCGTGCGAAGCTGCGTCATCGGACACTGGATCCGAGGAGGGAGAGCTGCACAGATGCGATATTTCTGCTCAGAAAAACAAGGGAGGAGCGGGACACCTGCGCCTTGTCTCAGTGAAGGGCGAGATGATGGAAGCCAGCACAAGCTGGCAATTTGTCCCCTTTGGCTCCAGCTCCCCACGCGCAAGTCGCTGCACGGAAACGTCGTGGCTCCCCCAGCCCTTTGCTTCACCGCAGAATGAAACTAAAATAAATATTCCAAATAAAAGATATAAAATATTTTTGAATATTCTGAGTATTCCAGAATAAATATTCCAAAATAAAGCCAGAGAGCAAAAAGCTTTGGTCCTCTGTGTGCTGCGACTCCGCCGTACCCAGTGACAACGCCTGGCACCGGGGAGAAACTCACCTGTGCGCAGGGCTTCCCGCTGAAATACCCAAACCCTAAAACTGGAGCCGAGCAGCAGAGCCCAGAGCCTGTTTCAAACATCATCCCCGATGCCTGCAGCCCCTGATTTAACACTGCCAGCAGGAGGTTCTTGCATCCTGCAGCAGCGTTTCCAAATGGCTCAGAGCTCGCCTTTGCCTGGCTTGTGCCTGGTCTCACCAGGTGTGGCACGAGGGTTTAGGCACTGCTGGAATAAAACACGTGCCAATTTCTGCTGGGTGAAGGTTACTTCAACAGCAACCACGCGGCTTCGGCCCCAGCCTCCAGGCTCCCGAAATTTGCAGTTGCCTCCCGGCAGAAGGGCTGGAAGCTGCTGTGAAAGGCTGGGGACAGGCACAAAGCCGCAGGAGGGCTGGGTGCCGATGAGCTTTGCTGCCCTGGGACAGCCAGGGAGCTCACGCTTGCCTAACTCCCGGAACAGAGCAAAACATCTTTCTCACCAGAAAAGAATGTTTCGGCCTTATTTTGCAACAACCCCCAGCACGTCCCCTAGGAAAAGGCAGCTTAGGCTGTGGCTGCTTCCTCCTGCCTCAAGCATCCCAGTGATGCAGGTTTTCTGCTGGTCTCACCTCCTCCGAGGACTTGGAGAGCACTGCAAGCTGCCACGGGGCTCTGCAGTGAAACACAACCCCAAAAATGGGGACAAAAAGGGGTTTCTCTGGGGCTGGAGGATGCTCTGCTGTGCCCCGGCCATTGGCAGCTGCAATTCCCACCCCGGCTTGCCCCAGAGCTGAACTCGATCGCACTAGGAAGTATCCCTTAAATCGGGAAGCACCCCTCGAATAAGGAAGTGTCCCTCAAACCAGAAAGGTTTCCCTCCAGCTGTGAACCAGGCGCCCGGTGTTTAGCCTGGGGGGTGGACGAGCACCCACCAGGAAGGAGAGCGCAGCCCCGTGCCGAGCAGCTGCTGTTTGCAGGGCGTAAATCAAGGATCAAATCCTTGCCGAGATGGGACAGGGGCGCTCGAGCAGACAGATTGCACACCAGGATGAGCCGAAACACGCTCGCTCTCTATTTAAATTCTGGATTAATTTTAACTTTCTATGTATTTTCCTGCTCGGACATCTGGCTGTACAGATCAGCTCATTTCGGGCTCCAGGGGCTGCTCTGTTACCTCAGGTGCAATAAATGGGGTGCAAAAGTGCTGGAGGCAGTGCTGGAATTGGTGCACGGTGTGAAAAGAGGCAACTTTGTGCAAACGTGTGTGTAAATTCAGCAAAAGCCGAGGCTGTGGTGCTGCCGGAGGGGCAAAAACCCCATGAGCAAGGCCCAGCCTCATCTGGGGGGGAAGACAAGTACCAGGCGGGGAAGAGAGACTTGCTGAGGCCCTGAGCCCAGTTCCTTTTTCTCACCATCCCTCTGATATCCACGCAGCCACATCCTCGTTCCCTGTCTCAGTTTCAGTGACAGGGGATTTCCTCTCCCTGTCTCAGTGCCAGGGTTTCTGGCAAAGTGCTCTGCGAGGCACACGGCACTAGGCACCTGCGACCTCTGCGCCAGAAAAAATGGCTAAAATGGTCTTTGGGCATCACCTAATTAGAGATGCCCTCCAAGCCAATGACACCATCACCCCCTTTATCAGCCTTCCATTATATACCACTCACATTTTTTTTTCCTTGCCTGGAGGCTGATCTGGCAAGGGGCATCTGGGCACCAGCAAGCTCCCAGTTGCACAAAAAAACAACAGGGGAGGGGGATGCTTTGCACTGGTTGTGTTTTTTCCCTGCCCAAGCGAGTCATTATGGCAACCAGCAAGACACAGCATGGAGCTTTCTAACCGAGACATCAAAAAAACCTAACAGCCATCCAGAAACCATATTGCTGCTCTTTTCCCTCGAGTTTTCCCATTTTGTTCAGGGCGCTGAGATACCCGGAGCTGTGCACAGGCTTGACCCAACTCATCCCAGTCCACCCAAACCTCCCATCAAAGGGCGCCCCGACTTTTCCGAGAAAGGGATTTGCATCCGAGCAGGCCCCCATCCAAGAGGAGAGCAGCTTGCACACGTAACGGGACCAATGTGGCAAGGACTGTCAATATTTGCCCGCTGTGAAGACAACAGAGGAGGAGCCAGGCTGAGCGGGCACGCGTTGGCTATAAGAGGTGCAGCTGAGCGCACCCTAAGGTGCAGGACCCGAAGGCTCACCCCACTCCGGAGCTGCTCGCCGCCAACCATGAAGCTCTTGGTGCTCCTCGTCTGCCGTAAGTACCGCCTGGAGGCATCAGGGGGATAACAGCTTCCCTAAATCCACCATAATTTGGGCGGTTTTGGGGTGGATGGTCGGGTGGGGGCTTTGTTCTGGTGCTCCTAACGGCAGGTCTCCAGTCGTAGGGCTGGTCCCCGTGGACGTGGATGGCAGCGCGTTTCAGTTTGGTAAGATGATCAAGCTGAAGACGGGCAAGAACCCGCTGGCGTACAATGGCTACGGCTGCTACTGCGGCTTGGGGGGAGGCAAGCAACCTCTGGATGCGACAGACTGGTGAGTGAGGAGCTGGGGGAGATGGAGAGAATCCTCCCAACCCTCTTCTCCTCCCAAAGCTCAAAGGGGGTGCGGCTGGAGCAGGCACTGCAGGAGCCACCGGGTGGTAGCCACTGCAGTGATCTCCCCTCTGTTCCCCGTCCTGCCCTGATGGCATGGTGCCTTTTGTGATACCAGGTGCTGCCATGCCCACGACTGCTGCTACAGCAGGTTGAAATCGTCAACCCCTGGCTGTCATCCCGTCCTGGTCCATTACAAATACTCTATCGAGAGAGGCCAGATTGTCTGCGGTAAGAGGCAGCGCGAGGCCAAAGCCACGCTCTCAGGGAATCTCTTTTCCTTGGTGTCCTTTAGATCAACCTGGAGGGGGTAGAAAGCAGGGAAAGGTGCCAGGAATAATGCAAATAATGGTGAAGTTTAGAGCTAGGAGACCTCCCAAAGGATGGGGGTTGCCCTTCTGTAGAGGCCAGATAACAACGTGACCAGAACACTTGAGGTGACCTGACTTGGACGGGGACGTGGTGCTGTCACCCCAATTTCCTGATCGTCCTCCCATCCACCCAGAGCAAACACTGCCATTTTGGGGGTGTGAATCAAAAAGAAGCACGTCCTCATGAGCAGAACAAGTATCTATACAGAACTAGATGTAAAGGAAATGAAAAGCTCCCGCTGGGGTCATGCTTGGTTTGTAGCCACTCTGTGCACCGGGGTAGGATGGTGGCAGGAGGGCTGACTACCCGGAGTTGACGGCTACGTATGCCAGTGGGAATGATTCAAAAGATAACCTCCAACTCTTGCTCCTTTTTTCCCCCCCCAGGAGGTGGGTCTACCTGCCAAACAACAGCCTGCGAGTGTGACAAGGCAGCAGCAGAGTGCTTCAAGAGGACCCTTGGGACCTACAACAAAAGCTACAAAAATTACTTAAACCTTCGGTGCAGGGGCTCACGTCCCAGCTGCTAGAGAAGCCAGCCTTGAAATCGGATAGAAATGCTCTAAATTGGTTTCTTCTCCTGCAGTGAGATGGAGTAAGGCACAGCTCTGGCCCCCACTGCACCAAAATGTCATTCGGAGGCCGGACCCTGAACCTGCGCACAAGGAAAGCCCACCCACTCCTCGTAACTCAATACATCATGAAAAAAAAAAAAAAAAGATTTCTTCAAATAAAAATAAGTTTCAAAGACAATTTCTAAATGCAATTTCTACAATTTCTAATGTGTTTTCCTGTTTTAAGACTCAGTGCCTGGGTGGGTGGGAAACCTGTAGCTCTCCCCAGAGACCCAATAGGTCCAGCACCCCAGGGCGACCAGACCACGGGTGCAAACTGGCCCCTTCCTGCTCACAAATTGACTCCTTAAGCAATTAGCACTTACTAGGGCACCAGGCACTGCCAGCAGCTCCTCCAGCATCACAGGGGTTTCAAGTTGGCTCCTTCTTGCACCCCCATTTTGAGTATGTCCTCACAGGGTTCTGGAATGAGGCAGGTCCTGCAGGAGGTGCATGGCAGCAGCAATTAGCCCTAATGAACGAGGGCCAGCTGCTCATCACACCTGGGAGGTGGAAGTGCCTCCACGCTGCCTTTGGCCTCAAAGACTGTGCTCAATTTGGCACTCCTCTGTGGGGTTGCACCCTCTGTGGGGTACAGAACTCTGTAGGGGCACTATGGGATGCAGTTTGGTGGTGGGACTTGGTGGGTCAGGCTGATGGTTAGAGTTGATCTCGAAGGTCTTTTCCAACCTAGATAGCTCTGTGATTCTACGAGGTTATAATTTTAATAGTTTTTCTACAAGGTTGTTATTTATATATATATATATATATATATATATTTTTTTTTTTTCCTAGGGTCACTCAATGGCTTTCCACTGTTAGAGAGAGGATTTCTTCAAGTTATATCTAAGCTTCTCCTCAGTCAGAAAAGTGAACAACACATTTCTATCAAAAAGGGAAGATGAGAAAGAAACGAGCTGGGATAGAGCTGATTAAGTCAATGCTGCCCTCTAAGGTTTGTGTGTGCACACAGGCTGTGCTCCAGGTACCAGCAAGGTTCATCCACAGAGTGACACGTGCACACATTGCCTTAATAAGATCATATTAATGACCTAATTTGCCCACCTTTGTCAAAGTTTCCAAACACCACGAAAGCTGACAGGTGAGCGTGTGCCTCAGTAGCCAGTGTGCATCCACAGAAACGGTTCTGGTCACGACTACTCAGTGCCCAACCTTTCCTGCCTATTAACAAAATGAAGAGATGCAGATGCATTAAAATAATCTGGAAGTTTTGCTTTTAACCCACACTTCCCCCAAAACACCATTCATCCAGCTTGGCTGGCACACCCAAGGGTGCAGAGGGACCTGGGCAGGATGGGTCGATGGGCAGAGGCCATGGGATGAGGTTCAACATGGCCAAGTGCTGGGTCCTGCACTTTGGTCACAACAACCCCATGCAGCACTACAGGCTGGGGGCAGAGTGGCTGGAAAGCTGTGCAGGGAAAGGGACCTGGGGGTGTTGGTTGACGCTCACCTGAACTTGAGCCAGCAGTGTGCCCAGGTGGCCAAGAAGGCCAACGGCATCCTGGTTGCTTTGGAGGAGGCTCAGGGCAGAGCTTATTGCTCTCTGCAACTGCCTGAAAGGAAGGTGTGGGGAGCTGGGAGTCAGCCTCTTCTCACAGCTAACTAGTGATAGGACCAGAGGGAATGGCCTCAAGTTGTGCCAGGGGAGGTTCAGGTTGGAAATGAGGAGATATTTCTGCTCACAAAGAGCAGTCAGACACTGGGATGGGTTGCCCAGGGAGGTGGTGGAGTCCCCGTCCCTGGGGGTGTTTAAGGAAAGGTTGGACGTGGTGCTTGGGGACATGGTTTGGTGGGTGACATTGGTGGTAGGGGGATGGCTGGACCAGATGACCTTGGAGGGCTTTCCCAACATTAATGATTCTAGGATTATTCGGTGTTCTTTACACCCTTTATTGCACTCAATACCCAAAACTGGGGATTTGGTTTGATAACAGAAGCGCATGCCCCACTGAGCATTTAAAAAAGGAAAGGGAAAGAAAACTCTTGTGTAGTTTCAGCAAAACCCAACAGAAGATGAAGGCACCTTCCAGAATACTGCTGCACATGTGGATACCACGGATGTCTTTCTTTGCTGTTCAGGTATTGCAGATGAGGCACAACTGTTGGTAAATAACCAAAAAAACCCTCAAAAACATCCCTCCATGGCTGGGTAAAACAATGGTGATACATTTACCTGAACTACCTTGACATGCCTGCTGCCTTCCAGTCTCATCACACTGGTGAAGTGACTTGCACTTTGTCCCACTGAAGCTTTCCATTCTTTCCACTTTTGTAAAAGTCAGGTGGGAAAGAGAATTCCAGAAGTACCGTTGCTAACAGGTCATCTAACGGTTAGCATAAAATGGATTTTACTGATTTTGAAACAACACTGAAAATTCTAGGCTCATCCATGTTCTCCTACCTACCAAATACTATTCAGATTTCCCTCTACAGTAATTTCTAATGCCTACCACAGGCACTTACAGCAGCACGTAAAATGCTTCTTCACTTCCCAGACACTGTCCCTCCATAAAGCGTAAGAGCTGTTTTATATTTCTTTTTATTTCTGCCAAGCTCTTTACAGGAACCAAAGTAACTTTTTAACAAGCATTCAAGCCTGTTCGCCTACACCATCAGTATTTAAAGTACAGCTCCTTCCTTTTTGTTGTTCAAATGCTCTATTAAGAACAGTAGCAGAGCATATGAAGAAATACTACCTCAGGTTTTGGCATTTCAGTCAAAAAAGGCATTTACATTTCCATATCGATTTGGAAACTTCAAAGAATGTACTGAAGAAAAACAACAACGTTCCTTATTTGTAAAAATGTATTTCATCTCTGCCCTGGCTGAAGTGCCTCCTGTTGTTTACTCTGTGTAAGTGCACATGGTTTCTTAAAGCTTAGTGCTTGATGCAAGTCCAAAACCTGAGTGAGGCTGAAATACTGCAAGCCATAAACCTAGGGCCAAATCCTGCAGTCCTTACACTTCAGTCTAAATTCCCTATAAAAGTACCACAGCATTCAAGCTATACATTCCACAGTACCTGGTGAGCATATGCAAGAGGAATTTAAGATGAAAATCCTATTCTGGAAAAAGCTTGATTTATGAAGAGTGAAGTGAAGCAGTGATCACTGCTGCTTGGAAGCTTGTTCCCAGAACACTCGATCCGTTGGCTATACAAATTTCATTTGGAGACTAACAACTATCAAGTTCCTGGCTTGGACTAAAGCTCTGCAGTGGCCCTACAGCTCCAAAGTATGGCAAAGGAGATGAGATTCCAGATGTTCAAGTAACAAATCTTGGCAGAAATCTCATGCCTGCTTGTAGAGTATCATATTGCTACCTCAGTAGACTTTATAGATCAGAAGAAATGGCTCTGCAGTCCCAGGAGCCCACTGGTTTAACTCTCTTGGATGAGAAAGAAAACAGGAATATTATGTTTGATAGTGTTGGCTAACACTTAGTTTTCGGAAGGATTCTGTTCCTCTGTTCCCTTGCTTTTCAAATTTAAATAGAAAAAAAAAAAAAGTGTGTTCCTGAGTTGAGAACTGTTAACGCTTTCCCTGACAGTAAGGTAAAATAAATCTCCTCTAAGCATAACTAAGCACAAAGTTGCTATAACAAATCTAAGCATATCAAGAGATCTCAAAGCAAGTCTGGCATTGCTGTGAGGAAAAGGTTCTCACCTTAACCTAACTCCGTAAGAACAAAAATAAACCTCTACTTGTTTGTTAAGGTTAAAGCTCTCTTCTCTCACACAGGTTGATGTAGAATTACGGAGTAACTGCCCTGCAATTGAAGAAACAAAGTTCTTAGGTGTTCAGAGATCTCTGCAGAAATTGATTTCCAGATGACAGTGCGTGCTTGGAAATTTGCTTAAGAGGAGTTTTGTCTCGATCAGTTCCTTTGCTTTTCTCTCCAGAATGCTCAGAACAATCAGTCATATGTTTAGAGCCGTCATGGCCTTCACCAAGGTGATCTGGTTATCCGAGTCCGTCTCTCTCCTGTTGCTATCTGCACAGTTACTTTTGTTGGCCAACACCTTTTGTCGGTGCCTTTCTTCCTGTCTCTTCTTTTTCTCCAGTCGTTGCTGTTCCTTCTTTTGTTTTTTTGATACCTGAAAAGGGAAGAATGAAAACAAAGTTGAAAACAGCCATTTACTGCCCAGCTGGGGAAAAATAGCACACTGGAAGGGAGACAAGCAGATACCAAAGCAGCTGCCAGAAAATTTTTATTCCAGACTATCTGAACTTTGTGCACTTTAGAAAAAGTGCCGTACGTCACTAATAAACACTTGACTTGGAGGAAAGTCACAACTGTAGCAGCTACAAAATCCAGTAAGTGGAAGCACTTTTTACTTCAAACAAGAGAACAATTGTTGGTAAAGAACTGCTCTAATCTTTAAAGCATGTCCACATATCACTGTCAAACCACCCTTCACATACCTTTGGGTTTTTGCTGGATTGACTATTTTCACTAGATTTAGCCAGTCCTTTGTGGTTTTCTATTTCATCTTGATGTGAACTCTGATTTCCGAAGATTCTTGAACCACTTCTGTTATCTTCCAACAGGGCTGAGGTGCACGATTTCTGACCTTTGCTCTGAGGATCGCGCTGCTCCTCAGCACCTACCAACAACAGAGTTTTTTCTCAGACACTCTATACACAGAAGCTGTCTCTGTGTCAGCCAATTCCTTCTTCCAGGCTTTCTGGAACTGTTTTTTTTGGAAGCTGGATTGAGTAGGGAAAAAGACAAAGTTCAGTAGCCTCTTCTGTCTGCTCACATAGGACAACATATTCTTCATCTGCTGGAATGTGGAAAGGGGACACTCCACACTAATCCAGTGGCATGCTGTTATTTTACAGAACTTCAGTGTAAAGGTCTAGTAACGTCTGCTTGTAACTTCACAGAGAGGACCCTATGTCACAGGCAACCAAGGGAAAAGCCAGGGACTCTAGTGCTCAAGAACTAGGCTACACCTGTACTTCAGGTTCTCCAGAGAACAGATCTAGGACGGAACATGCTCTGAGATACTGGTAAACCTGAGTTATCTGGTGAGGAGGCCGCAGAACGGCTCCAGGGATTACTAATCTTACATGGAGTTTTCAAGACAGTAGGGCAGAACAAATGCAAAACAGATAAATTAGGATATGGTATGCTCAGTGGCTCATATGAACTTAGCTCAGTGCCTTCAACAGTGCCAGGTCAGTCTCACAACAGGCACTGTTACTGCAAGGCTCCACAGGTGCACAAAATCTGCCCTCATAACCTTCCCGAGCACAGAAAGGCTGAGGCAGCAGCACAGCCAACAGGAAGCTTCTACTGCTACTGTCCCTGTTGAACTGCTGTTTACAGTGAACGATGCCTCAGAAGAATGCTGTCTGAAGTTAGCAAGTGACAAAGTCCATGTACTTACCGATTCCTTCCATTTCCTTCACTTGAAGGATGGCAAATATTGCAGAATCTACGTTGTAGTCTTCCACTTTCAGAACCTGGCTTACTAACTCAATGTCCTGTCCAAGAGAAAGATAACATTAGAGAGTTCCAACCAGTGACATACAGACACCTCTTCAGCAACCACATGCACCACTAGGAGGGGGCTGCTGTCTGCTTTCATGGCCTCCAATCAGCCCATACTCCATTTCTCAAGAAGGTGAGGGAAAAAAACTTCAAAATCTCGAAGATCCCAGGAAAAAGGACTATACTATTTCAGTATAACTGTTTCACTCTTGATCCTTTTCATTCTCTGCATTTGCACAGTACAACCTGCAGTAACCACACAGGTTATCTAGTGACCACAGCTAAAACCAAACATCCTGAATGACTAGACAGTTTGTGAAACAAACTCTGTAAAATTTCAAAGCAAATTTTCTTGAGAGACCACAAGACAAACCTTACAAAACTGTTCAATATTCACACACAGTATGCATTTGAGTCTAGGACGAAATGCATTCCAATTTGTGACTGTAGTAATGAAATTGTCCAGGACAAACACTCTCTGGAATTTTTCTTAAGGAAGAAAGGGTACTCAATACTTACGGAACATCCAGTTGCAC